TGGATTTTTTACGCGCGCGCACGTTGTCCATCCCGGCCGTGTAATAAATAATAATAATATCATATAAAATATTATTATGGTACCTACACGTCGTATACCTACTACAATATTAGTAATGATAATAATATTATTATTATTATTGTTATTATTATAACGGCATGCGGGATCATCGTCGTACGTCGCGGCGGCGGTGTAAACGTCGCCAACGCGAGCCGCACGAGTACTAGATGACGACATTATAACGATATGATAATATTATACGTTATAATATCGCTGTAACGATTTTACGCGTATAATATTATTACAGTCGTCGTACGAGTCAAATCGAAATAATTGTCTCACAATCGTTTTTCCCTCTCTATCGCTCGCGCCCGTCCGTTTTTAGTTAGTCGTAATAGCTGGTAACTAATACGAATACGAAATAATGCCGTCGGACGGATCGTGCCGTACGCACCGCAGTTACAATAGATCGGAAATAAAATGGCGATCTCCCTTCGACGTCGTTACCCGATGCCACATAATACTATAATAGTAATAATACTATTACGTACACGGCGGCCGCCGCGTTCTACGGCCGTCACTGTACCAACTCGGTACGAGTCGGCTCGCCGAGTCCAACCTACCAAGTACCAATTCTCAATTTTTTTTCTGCAGAAACGAACGCGGTCATAGTTGAACTGGCAACGTTTCGATTTTACTGTACCGACTACCGAGTTCGACCGAGAGCGTCGAGCGCAATAGGTACAACTACAACATAATAGGATATTATAATGTAATGCGTGCGCGCGCCGCGCAATAATAATAATATTATTGCGCGTACGTATTTGGTTAATACTTAATACTTAATAGTATTATAGTAGTGGTATCGCAGTGTTTTCGTTGCATACTGTAACTGCCGAGTGTTAACTATATTGTAATGACTAATAATAATAATAGCAATAGTACAGCGGCAATACCTATATAGATGGTATAATGTAAATTACTGTCGACGAAGGGATGGAAAGTGGAACGTTACGCGAAACCTGGTCGAGTTGTGCCCCGTGCGCGAGCATGTGAGCGCGAGACTCGAATTTCGGGGAGTTGGTGGGGGGGGGGCAGGGGAATAAGTATGCTAAAATAAAAAATAAATAAAATATCAAATTGTACGTCGTCGACCGGCAATTGGGTCAAGGGAACGCAGTGATAATTTGACGAGTGGTGGTGTATGTGTGTGTGTGTGTGTGTGTGTGGGAGGGGGATTTCGATTATCTATATTTAGATGATATTTAAATGTAATACATACGTATAGGTTTTAAATTATTCCTATATACCTGTTATTAGAAATAAAATTTGTCACGTGGCGGTCAAAATTTTAAAATTTATTGTCAACTGGAAATCGTTTCAGTGGTGGCCACGTCAACATACGTATTATTATAGATTGATAGTTTAATTATTGGTATCGTATCGCCATTCCGGTGTGAACTAAAATTTAAAAAATATATTACATGAGTCGAACAGCTAGCTACTGAAACGTCAATCCAACCTCTTAAATGTGTCTACACAATACATTAATAGGTAGGTACTTGTTGACTGGTTGAAATTTTTTTCTCAGCAAACAAAAACTCGTCTCACTTCTCAACAATCACAACCACTATAGTTTCTCACAGTGAGTGATTTTGAGGACCTTCATAGTTCATTGTATTTCAAAAACATTTCAATTCAACTACCGTGGTCTATAAGAGTTGCGAGTTGGTACTTGGTTATTATTCTGAACATAGTATAGGAGCATTAGGAACCAATATAATATCTTTAATACTTAAATTGGGACGAAGTACAAATAAACAATAGTAATAATTAATAACTAGGTACCTACTGAAACAATTTGAAAACTACAAGGACAAAATACGGATAATAATAAATGTATGAATATTACTTAATTTATTTCCATGTATTTATAAAATTGTTTGAAAAATAAAATTAGGTATTTGGGGCCATAAATTAATAAAACAAATTTTTCTAAAGATGAAGTAGGTAATAATAAACATAATAAGAAACTTTAAACTATCAACATTTTTCTTAAAACTGTTTATTTTTTTATGTCATTAATGTTATTAAAAAACACTTTGTCCAATACTATACGACTTTTGAATATTTTAAATTTATTTTATATGAGTAGCCAAGTACTAAGTAGGTATTGAAATTACTTTCTATCACTTATCATAAGAGTAAAATACAAACAATACTTCAATTTAAAATAAATTGGTTCTTTGTTTTTATTTTTTTAATTTGGTAAATAATTTACATAACAACATGTGACATACTCATTTACATCATTAATTCATAACAATATAATAACTAAATACCATAATGTAGTTATAATTAACTAATGTGATTGAATACATTAATTACTATTACTAAATTATGATATATATCTTAACAACTATTGAATGCTTTCTTGTAATTAAAAATACCTACAAATTGATTTTAATTGTAATTTCATAATTTGTTAATCCATATAAAATATAGATATTCATTTATCTTGAAAAATTAAAAATCTGATTGAATGTTTATTTCATATTTAGCAATACAATAAATTTTTCTACACATAAACCATTGTACTTGTAAAATACCAAATCAACTAGGTATCTCAAATTATGTTCTTTTGTTTACTTTTATTAAAAACTTTAAAATGTTTTAGATTCATTTTCATGTGAAATTTAAAAAAATTAAGTTTAAATTAAAGGGCAATGATCAGGTGATGTTTAATATATAAATACAAATATTAAATAATTTGAATCCAAAAAATTTTAATTGACCAATCACCAATAAAAAATTATAAAAGAATAATAATTGTATAATTTGCATTTTATAGTTTTATACTAGGAAAAATAATAAATAAATAGGTAAGGATTTCAGAACAATGTTTGTTATATAATTAATAAAATACAGAATCTTTAAAAAAATTTACTGCTCTTCATATTTTTAAATTTAACAAATTACTTAAATTAAAGGTAAGTAATAACAATTTATTACTGAGGTACTTAGATGATAACAGTACATCTAGAGCCTATGTTGAAATTTTAAATTATCTTATATGTGAATTAATTGTAATAAAAGGAAATAAATAAGTATTAATTAAATAAATTACCTAGTACCTATTGTTGGCTACTCTGTAGGAGCATCATTTAGAAGTCAGGCAGTATTATGTATTTGCCCAACCTAGATTTTAAAGTAGCTTAGGGCCAACTGCTGGGTGTACATAACAGGCTATGATTAATGGCATCATAGGAGTATGGGGAAGGGTATGCGAGGTGGATTTTTTTTAAGTTATTTATTTAGACTGGTAAAAACTTATGGTCTTCTCTATTTAAAACTGAAATTTAGCAACTGCTACCCTGTGAATAATTATTTTTTTTAGAGTAAGTTTACAGTACAATAGAGTAATATGCGTGGACACATAATTTTGGTTTTTTTTACTACTACTGCTATCATGCCAAGTAAAGGCATGCATATACATATTTTATTTTCATTATTTATTAACATATTAACTTTCTAGTATAAGATGTTTTTCTTTAGTAACTTGAATACTGAGAAAATTTACTAAGGATACTAAATTAACACTTATAATAGATTGAAAAATATTATTTATACCTAATTTTAAACAAGACGCAAATACAAAGTAGTTTTTCTATAATGTTAGATAAAGAAAATAAACTTTATGCTAATATCATCTTAAAATAGTTGAATTACCTATTTATTGTTGTAATTGTATACAGTTAAAGTGTATTAAAATATTTGATTTTTCTTGATAATTATTTAATTATATGATTAATTATACCTAAATATACCTAGTAAAAGTTTAAATTTATAAAAAAAACTATTAAAATACAATTACCAAAACCAAATAACAGATTGAAATAAATAAAATGTGTTACTTTCTAGTACCATTAAATTTGTTTTATAATTTTTGTTAAATATTAATAACAGATCAAAATTTAACTATATTTTTGTTTTAATATATTATGGTGATTTAATCTTAGAGAACTTATTATTAAATAAATTAAGTATTTATCATTTTTAAAACTATATTAAAAATTTTCTTCATTATGCAAGTCAAATGCAAGACAATGATAGCATTTACTAAAAATTAGTATACCTTAATTCAAAAACATCATTAACACAAGTAAGAAACACTTAAAAAATAAAGTAAAATATTAAGTTCACTATGAATTCAGGTAGTGGATTTAAAATTTTGTGCTTTTTAAATAATTTTAGCTATTTATTAATTTTTATGATGAATAATTGATAATGGTTTAAATGGCAGGAACTATTGAATAATGTACACTGTACAATAATGCAATGGACTGAATAATGGAAAACACAATGCATCAATTTATAAATTAACATATTTTAATACAATAATAATATTATCTATGTTAACAAAGTTTTATATTTTAATTGATATAAATTGTATAAAAAATAATTAAAAAATGAGAAAGTACAAAAATGTAGAGTAATGTTAATGTGAAATATATTTATTTGTTAATCATCCAAGGCTTATACTGACATACTTGTCTTTGATTTAGATTTATTTAATAGCATTAAAATAAAATGTATTTATTATTTAAGAAAAGTATAGCTAAAAAAAGCCAATAACTAAAATAATATAAGAAAAAATTCAAATAAAATTCAAATTGTTTACTTATAGTACACCTACACAATGAGCTATGTTAACCTAACATCCTAATTGTAATGAATTTTATATTAATTAAAAATTAATATAAAACTATTTAACTGTTTTTTTTTTAAATTTTATTATTGCTAATTTTATAAAAAAAAAACTTAGTTTGAAAACAGTTTAAATACGATTTTATTATTATTCAACCAATTTTTAACAATTATATTAAAATTAATCACTAGTACTTAATTATAAATGTATAATGTTTAACATAATACAACAAAACTAATAAAAAGTTCACAATGGAAGACTTTCATTTAAATAAAACTTATTAATTATTTTAAAATATAATTTAACAACACAGTCTCTATATTAACTATCATAAATATAATAATTACAATACTTAAGTATCTATAATGATGGTGATAAATTACTCATGTAAATTACTTTTAATTCAGTCTTATGTGTATTTTCAAAAAGAGCAGCTCTATTTTGCCCTTCTCCTTTTTTAATCCAATGTCCATAAACTCTAAATGCCATTGCGTCAGTAAGCTATAACATTTATAAATTATTAATATACTTTTTAAGTAACTTACAAGTTACAACCAGCTAATACTTACTTTTCTCAAAATTTTATGCCTGTAAGGATCTTGTTTAACCAATTTCACAGAAATTGTACCAGTTGAACATGGTAATAATTGTAATAACCTAATCACCACACGCACTACTAAGATAGCATATAAAAATTTCTTACGAGCATTAAATGGCCTCACTTTAATTTGTTTAGCCAGTTTTGAAATTTCATTGAATTTTGATGAACTTAGGCTTAGCGTTCTTTTTAGTGGTGCAATATCTTGATCAAACATCTAAAATAATAGTCATAATCATAATTTTTAATGAAAATTAGGCTCACATGTAGTATGTTATCTACTGTCAATTAATTAATGTTGTACTCTATTAAATTCCTCAATAGAAATATATATTTTTTACTTATGAAATAGTTATATATAAAATATGACTGTCTATACTTTTAAATTGTTTGGTCATTAATGTGTTTTTTGTATTCATTAAACATTTTTTCAATTTTTCATAATAATGAGTAAAACAGATGATTAGAAATAAGATAACTGTAGCAAGTATTTACATATGATGTGTCATAGTAGCAATCAGTTAATCTAATCAATATAATCAAATTTTTTTATAAGACAATCATTGAATCACATACTTAAATGAAATTATAATAACTATTAAATAATAGACTTGAACTAAATAAAGGTAAAAATATTTATGTACATATTTTTATAAGTAAATAGCGAACAATGTGATTGATCATTTTTTGTTGGTACCAATTGTTAGAGATAACATACAAAATGTTTGCAAAAAATTATTTCTATTTCACTTTGAAATAGACAAAGAAATTAACTTACTTTAATATTAAAAAATGGATGTTCCAGTGCTTCATCTACTGTCAACCTTTCATCCGGGTTCAAAACTAAAAGTTTTCTAATTAAATCTTTTGGCGACTCTAAAAAAATGTATATAAAAGCACTAATAATGTTATTTATTTATTTCATTAAATAATTTATTTTTATTTACCAGAAATATCTTGCCACTCTGGAGAATTAAAAGTGTATTTTCCTTCCATTATATTTCTTAACATAATCATTTGTTTACGGTGCCAAAACGGAGGACAACCAATTAATCTGTAATGAAGTAATATCAATAATAATTTTTTTTTAAATGAGAAATATTATTTATTTATGTAAAATAACTAATACAATTACTTACAGTGTATACATCACTACACCACATGCCCACCTAAAAATAAAAATAATTAAAATGAACAATATCATTTATTACAATAATATTTAAATTTTATGTACTTTGTTTATTATTAAACAGTTAACTTAACTTTAATAATAAGCTTTAATATTTTACATGTATGAAGTATTACATAATATGAAATACACAAAATTCCCATTTATTAGTACTTTATATTTATTTAATATACACTCAATATATTTAATATTATTGAATGCAATTAAAAGTTTATAAAATTGTTAAACATACCCATGTAAATGTTATGTTGACATTAACTGGTTAATATTGTATTATCCAAAAGTTTGATTTATGTTAGTGGTTAATATTACCAAAGTTAAATAATAATAAAAAAAAAAAAACACCTATAATATGTTTACAAGTATCCATTAATTCAAAGTCCTGGTATAAATATCTAAAATTGTATAGTGCAATTTTCTTCTATTAAATCAATTTACATTGTTACATTTACATATACAATTATCAAACTAATTTGCCACAATCCTGATTCGACTGTAATAGTGTTATTTGTTTACATGCACTTTGTACTCAGGAAGTTATTTCTATTACTTATTTCAAATATGAATTTAAAAATCATTTTAAGTAAACCAGACTCAAAATAAAACAAATTAACTCAATATACAACTCGGCGAGTTTACTAAATCTAATAAAATTAAGGTAAATCAGTTTTCAGCAAATATAATTATAACCAATAGGCTTATTAGGTTATGGAATTTTAGATTAAAACAAAATTAAAGTATAATACTGATATTCCTAAAAAGTTATATAAATATTGTTCATATTCTTAAAAATGAAAAAAAAGTTATGTTTTTATACTAATATATATTTTTTTTTATAAGCTAGTAATTGTTATTTTTTCTAAAAAAGATTAAAAGATGAAAAACTAAAATTAATTAAAAAAATAGAACATAAATTTATTGTAACATAATTGATCATCCATTTAGAAAAATAAATAATTAAATTATTTACCACAATTAAAGCTTTGGTTAAGTGAGGATAGTTTCAATCCATATTATATAGGGTAAATAGTTTTTTTAAGCTATAACTAGTTTTAAAATACTAATTATTAAACAGTGTATAAATTGTTGAAAAAATAAGATACAGTGTATAAACTGTTGAAAAAATAAGATCTATATTCATAAATTATATACATTTCAATTATTTTAAAATCGGCAAGTCATTACTTCAAATTTTAATTTATTCAATTGAAATTTAAGTCATATTGACAATATAATATATAGAAATATTGAATGATGTATATGTTTATTATTTTCACTTATAAGATATAAATTATTAAAATTAAAAACTAAACTTGAAAAATTTTAAATGAATTAAATATATATATGTGTTATCATATATGGATATACAATAACTGTTTGACTAAACAATATTTTAGCCAGAACATTTTTAAAAATATAAGAAAAAGAAAAAAAAGAAAATTATATATATATATCATAGTCAGGTACTTTTCATTAGATAGTTTAACAATATACTTTTAAATGTTTTCTGTAATAATTATCGTAGTTCAATTTTTTTATCCCTTACTATATTCAGGATAAGAGTATACTAGACACTAGTTACCCTGTGGAATTTCATTTGAATAGAATATAAATCCATTGACATGCCGTACCACAAGCATACACGTAAGGCATAATAAAGTGACAAAGGTCATTAGTATATTTTATGATTAATAGCCATTTTTTTTTTTTTTTTTTTGTTAAATTGCTTAGCTGTAGATTTGGGATTAAGCCTAGTATATGTTTGTCTTCATAGCTAATACAAGTGTGAAAAAAGAATTAAAAAATAACAATTTTATACCATAAAAATATTAATTAATATTTCAAATAAAAAAATAAAAACAATATCTTTATATAGGGAATTAGTAAGTAATTATATAATAATATGTAAATAGTTCTATAAACCACTACGTTAAAGATTCTGAGCAAAGCTTTAAATAATGAAAATAAGGTTAATTGCAAGTTTAAGATTACCAAACTATAGCCTATTCAAGAGCCAATTTCACTAGAAAAAACAGACAACACATTTTATTTATAAAATAAACTTAAAATAATCCATAAAAAAAAAGGAGATGGTGGATTCCAAAAATAAGAACTTTGAATATGTCAAACAGTTACATAAATAAAAACTTTAATATAAAACTGATTATAAAATAGTTTTAAAATTAAATTAGTTTATAGTTTTTTTATTTTATAATTACAGATCACATGAGAATCCATATCCATCAGCATCATCAAACATATTTACTTTTAATACTTCTGGAGCTAAATAATTTGGTGTACCACATAAATCTAAAAAAAAAGTGTAATAAATGACAAAAAAAAAAAACAAAAAAGTACAGATAAAAAATCAATAATTGATAATATGGGAATATTCAATTTCTGAAGAGATATAAATTTAGCAATTAACTATATGACATGAAAATAACAATTCTAAACATACTTATTGATATTTAATCAGATTTGTTTTGAAAATTGCTGTTATTATTTTATAACAAATTAAGAGAAACTACAAAAAAAAAAAAAAATTAAAATTAACTTCATTGAACTTAAATTATTAAATTGCACAATTTTTCAAGAATATGAGTAACAGAAAAGGTAATTTTATATTTATAGAATACCATATCCATTAGAAATAAAATAAAAATTAACTATAAAACAAATACACCCATCACTCTACTCAGAATCTAAACATATACCTAGCATTATTGATATATCAACAATTAAATAACAAAATGGAACAAATAACAAATGTATAATAATGTAACATATAAGCACAACATTTCTTAAAAATATTTGGTAAGTAGTAGATATTTTTTAAAATTATAAGAGTATAGAACCTAAAATAATTATACACAAATAGATATAATTAAAACTATTTTTAACAGTAATTTATAATATTAAACATTTATATTTTATAGTTAAGCTTGAATATTATCCTAATATGGCAATTAAAAAGTTTAACCACTCGTGTGCGGCATTTTAAACTGTAATAAACTATTTAAATGATTTACCTCTAAGTGTTTGATTAGGTTTCAAAACACTTGCAAATCCAAAATCAGTGAGCTTTATATCCAGTGCATCGTCAAGTAAAATATTTTCAGGTTTAATATCTCGATGTACAACACCTTGTCTATGAACATGTTGCAAAGCTTCAAATAGTTGTCTCATTATATATCTAGTTTTTTTCTCAGACAATGTCACAACATTGGTTAAGTAATCAAACAACTCTCCATTTCTGCAAAGTTCAAATACCAAAAATATGAATGTCTCCGACTCGAATACATCATGTAAATGTACTGAAATAAATTTTTAAAAGATCATTAAATATTTAGAAATTTATATTAATTTAAATACTATAATACTTACTAATATATTGATGTCCAATAACCATTCTTAATATATTGATTTCTTCTAAAGTAGCTCCTCTATTTTCAGGATCATTACTGAGGTCTATAATTTTTGCTGCAAATTCCATACCAGTCTCTTTTTCTACACATCTTCGTACAGTTGAGCTAACACCTCTATTGTACAAAATTATAAAGGTAATATAATATTTGTTTAATAGTTGATCCCATTAATATAATGAATAACAACACACCTGCCCAATATTTCTTTGGGTTCATATCTGGCATAAAATTCTTTGGCTGCATCTTTGTCAGGTAGTTCGTCATCTTTGTTGTCCATTATTGTCAAATAATTAGTTGATGTACACTAGATCAGGTTACTATTCTGAATAAGAGAATATTATTTACTTAGTGTATTCGACGACCTAATTAATAAAATTCAAACAAACTGGTGGGAGTTCAAAGGTTTAATATAATAAATAAAAATATACCATCGAATGATTAAATATGTAATCAAAGAAAGAGATAAAAATGTTAAATTATCAAATTAAAGAGATAAGAAAAGTAGTTATTGATAACCTGACATCGGGTATATTTAGAATATTCAGATGTAGTTTTTTTTTTTTTTGTGTGTAATACACAGATGTAAATAAATACTAAATAAATGTTAAAATTTTAATAAAATATTTATATAGTATAATATGCTAGTACACCTAATACATTAATATTTCGTACATTATAATTATGTATTTATAAGTTGTATAACATTTTAAAAATATAATCTATGATTTACTATGAATACTATATAACGATAGAAAAAATAAAAACTAAATATGTTTATTAGCATAAATTAAAAATTAAATTGAAATAAATGAGAATCATTTATCTATAATTAAGTATCAATAATGTCTTCAAATTAATTTTTTTTTTAGAATCTAACCGATTATAAAATAACCTAAAGATTACCTGGTACCTACTCAAATATACAGTTTTGACGATTTTCAATTTTGTATTATTTTCATTAGAAGCATGCCCATTGCCCAATGAATAATTTGCAATTTTTTATAAATAGTAACACGTATATTTAACATCGGATTTGAATAGACCATTTTTAAAATTAATTTAGATATTTTAACCATACCTATACATATGAAACCTCCCCTAACGAATACTTTCAAATAATGGACGCTTTTTAGGGGACGGGAACACTTTTACTACTTTTTAATGTGTGTTATCGACCAATGTGTGTATCAACCAATTAAGAAGCACACAATGAGTGTTAAAAATTTTAAAGTCATTAAAAAAATGTATTTCAGTAGGTACTATATAGCTCCTCCCGAAAACTCCACTTCTGTAGTACTGTCTGATTTGTTACTGGACAGAAATATTTCGTCTTACCTTTAAACGAAAACATACTACAGATATACTATATTGTTCATATTATGCAGACATACAGTTGTATACTGTACAGTTAATTTATTTCGCCAAATATGATAGTTGGATAAGTTCAAAATATATTAATATTATTTATATTAATAATCATTAATTTCTATCATTTAAAACTATGAGGTGAGTGAGATAGGTTACAAATAAATATGTAGGCTATACATTAGTACTATTATGTTAAAAATAATCTTATATTTTTTATTTGATTACTAACTATAACTGCCAAATATCGAAACATAAAATATTTTATTATACACTATACAAAGAATTAGAATGATTTATATGAGTATAAAATGTACCTAAATAAAGTATAAGAATTTTGTTGAATTTAAATAATTATATATTTAATATTATAATTAGGTATGATGGACTTTGACTTAATGTCTTATTATCATTTATCATATTATGAGATTAAACAATTTATTAATGTTTCACATGGCGTTGCAAGATTTCGTACACAAATCTATAAATAAATTCATATTTTTATCACTGAGCCAAGGAATAACATTGTTACATAATTTCAATGGGTTCTGTAGTTCGATTCTGTTGAAACTGCCAAAATTAGTGTTTATCAACGTTTCACTCTTTTCAAATTTCTCAGTTTGACATTGATAATTACCCGTGGCATGAACTTTAGTTATAAATGTTGAGTAAAATGTTTTTTTTGGAAGTAATTCACCGAATACTGTACACAGCACATAATTTCGTAATGTGATTGAGTCTGAGTAAAATTGAAAAAAATTACGAAGTAATTCCCATTTTGAAAGATTTGATTTGGAGCACATTTTTAATTTTAATTGATCGTTATTAAAACAAATACGTGTATCCCAACCTAATAAAAAATATGAATAATTAATTATTATTATTTATTGATAATTGTTAGTCATAACGCAATACCTATAATATTTACATATTATAAGATTTTTAAATACTACGAGTATATTATGCAATTGTGTGAAATACTATAAATTATTAAATTAACTTAAACAAAATTATTTACAGTAATAAATATAATTTAAATATTATATATTTTAATATTACACATTTGTTTCATATAATTAGGTTAATAATTAAAAGTATTACACACAAGTGTATAAAATAATTTTAATATAGCTATATAGTAATTAGAAATATACATTATACATAAGAAATAAATGATAAAATTATAAATATTTATAATTAATCTTATTTTAAAGGAAAAAAAATGAATAGCTATAAAATATATACCTATATATCAATATACTCGTACGTTTAGATTAAATTACTAATTTATACCTCGCCATGTCATTGGATTCATATAAATATAAACTGGCGTTTTAATTTTTACTGCAATAATTTTTTTAAATATATAATACAATTTATATCAAAATAAATACTAGAATTTAAAAACAATATTAATAAATAAAATTAATTATTTGAAAAATATAAATACGTTACATTGTTATTTCGATAAACCTAGGAAAAAAGAATATATATTTCGTATCAGAGTAGTATCTTTATAAATAAGCCTCTAGTTAACTACTGAGATCATTATATACAAGAGCTAGGAAGTGCCTATATAATATAAAACACCGAAAATCTTTTAAAATATTATATGATTAATTTAATTGAAATTGCTAATCAACACATAGACGGAAATTTGATTGCATTTTAGGGGGAGGGCTTAAATCTTTCTTTGCATTATTGCAAAATAGGTACCAATTTAATACTTTGAAAAATTTTTAATAATTTTTTTTTTTGGGGAGGGGGCTAAGCCCCTCTTCAATTTCCGCCGATGGATTAACATCAACAATTTATCTACCCTATACTTATGTAAGTTTCTATTGAAAAAATCTTTTACCTTCAATATAATTTGGTACATGTCTGTGATGTATTCTCCATAATTCTATAATGGGTGGAACAACTTTGTATTGCATCATGAAGTATAACACTAGCCAAATTAGGGAATAAGTTGAAAAATTATCAGATAAGAGTTTCAAAGAAACAGCCCAATGTTTTACTGCGATGACTACCCAACGGACTCTTTCATCCATGGTTAAATAAAATCTAATAAAAAATACATATTATAGTCTATGAAATATTATATATAATTTCATAAAATTTAATTTAAAATAATAAATATAGTGGAAAAATTCGAAGTTTTTTATATAATATTAAGTGGGATAATTTATGTACATACATAGATTTTTATGTTGTCTTTGGTCACGTTTTGACTTTTGAAAAAAAAAATAATAATCTTCAGTTTTAAGGTAAATTATTGTGGTTTCTGGTTTTTAATACAAAATTAGATATAGTAACTTGTTGGTATTTTTGGGCCAAGAACAGAAATTCCTAGAACTTTTAAATTATTGAGATTAAAATAAACTTCTAAAAACAGCAGAAAACAGGAATACTTTCTGTTACTTGATGTTTGAAAAAATCAATTTTGTTTTTTTATTTTAAATCAAAAGATAAAAAGGTTATAATATGGATTAAGGAATAACCTTAATACTTAAAATATTCATCAAATATTTTGCTTTTTGAGCTAAGTATCTATTTATAGGCATTTGAAATTTTCGAATGCATAATAAGACCTACAGAGTGCAGTTATAAAAAGCCCAAAGCCCAAGTACAAATAACAACTATTGTATAATTTATATTTTATCGAAACTTCAATAAACTCAAAGAATTATGACGATAGGTAGTATAACATTACTCATAATTATAATACTTGATAAGTTCTGAGTTAAGCACAGATAGACCACTTCGGAAATGCAAATCACAATTTAAATTTGTAGGATTGTGAGTAAAGCGCACAATTGGTACTCGCGTTTCTGCAATAATTTTCAATCCAATAAATTCTTTATTCATGGCTTTAACAAATAAATTAAGAAGTTGTAGTTGCCGTGTATAATCATCTGCGATTTTTCCTGAAAAACAATCACCTAAGACACCAAAATAAATAATTAGCCTTAATTAGGAGGTATTTATATAGGTATTTTATTCTTTAATATTATTTCATACAACCAAGTCTACTAAGTATATCATAATTGACAAAGGTAATTCATAAAAACGTATTGTATAATATAATATTAATAATATATATTTAGACTAATATATCTATTATATAGTTATAGTTGTTTTCATGAAAAGTGGCTTTCGACGATGGCGCAGCTGTGCAGCTGGTGACGTTATTTCTAAAATACAGTGGTTCTTAATGTGCGTTGGTAGCTCTATGTAACAGATGGTTGAACAACAAAATCATCAATGTATTATTCAGTCCTGTACCTACACCAACATTTTACATATTCATAGTTTTTTCTCTTCCAAAAAATAACAAAATAAAATACTTATTTTTGCCATTATCAAAGTCACGTTATGTCGTATAACGTCTCGTCCCCACAACGATATATCGATATCAATATATTGTAATTGAGTCAAAATATTTTTTTCTATTTTGCACTTTCTGATTGTGCTTTTTTTTTTATCAGATGATCCTTTTTTTAAGTCCTTCCGAGGGCGCCCATAGAAAAATTCTCAAGGGGGGATAAAATTTTAATTATGTCCATGAGATAGGAAGGGGTATACAATTTAACATCATACTATTATATGTTTTATATATCAAACTGGAAGATTATGAAATAATAATTATTTAACCAATTAACCATGAAAGTTATTTATTGAATTTTAATTTGATTAATAACATAAATTTATTAAAATATTAATTTACAAATAAAAATTATAAATTTTTTTTTAAAACTAAATATATTTATTACTTGTTCTATGTATCCATTCGTTTTATCATACATTTTTACTCATTGTAGATCTTGTGTAAACAATTTTTCAACATTTTTAATATTTTCCCGGGGATATGTCCCTCTCCTGCCCCCCATATGAGCTCCCTTGGGTCCTTCCCCAAGGAAAATTTCTGATCTTCTGTTACCATCTATAATATTAGAAAAAAAATATTGATAGATCAAAAATAATAATATTTAAATATCGATATTTTTCACAAAATTCGAAATTTTGACATTGTCGATATTTTTTTCGCATCCCTATATAGTATCTTCTCGTGTCCGTAGTTGTGTTTGTTGTTTACATTTTGTGTTCGCGCACATTGTAATGTTTTAATACCATTGACAATTTGTTTGTTTTATTTTTTCAAAATGTCTTCACAGTCTGATATACATTCACAGACGAAAAATATCATTTTCAATGTGTATAAATATTTAAAAAAATTATCGATGGATTCGTCTAATCCGGAGATAGCCACGTTTTTTAAACTGATACAATTAAAAACTGCCAAAGCGTGTGGTGTAAGTGAAAAAACTATGAAACGTATCACCGTAGAAGGAAATAAATCGTCTACTGTATTACAGGCTATTGATTTATTGTTCACTTCTCTGCGAAAAACATATAAAAGAGCAAAATTTGCCAGTGAAGTAAACGGTTTTGATGCGGATATCGGGATATGTAAGCAGAGTTGTTCACGATTTTTATGATAAACATGAGTACCCTACACCATATCAAATATATTAGCTGAGTATCAAAAAATAACTGAGTACAAAGGTTCTAGGTCCTAAGACTTACATGTGGCGTATTTTAAAAAGTCTCAACTTCAAGTACAAAAACTGTAATGACGGACGACGGTTCTTAATAGAGCGGAATGACATAGTTGTTATGCGAGTAAAATGTTTGCGAACTTTAGTCAATCTTCGCCAAAATAATGATACTCGGTCCGTTATCTATTTAGATGAGACATGGGTTAATCAGAATCATACCAAAGAAAACATTTGTCAAAATGAATTAAATTTAGAAGGGATTAAAGTACCAAGAGGAAAAGATAGTAGATTGATAATTTGCCACGCGGTATCCAGTTCATTTGGATTTATACCTGGATTAAAGTAAATTCTTTGATGCCAAAGCGGTATTTTCATTGATTATCACTCCCAAACAAATTCTATTTTTAAATAGTGGTTTATAAAAATGTTATAACATTTAGAACAACCTTCTATAATCGTAAATCGTAATGGATAATGCCCCGGTACCATTCGGTTTTAGAAAAAAACTATCCAAAGGCAAATGAAAATAAAGCAAAGTTCAAAAATGGCTTTCTAAAAAAGGGTTAAATATTCACCACTTGAGACATTGAGTAAATTGCGCGAAAAGGTTAAACTATTGATATCAAGACAAAATATATTCGAGGTTGATCAAATTGCGTTGGAAATGGGACATGAAGTTGTGCGTTTTCCAACTTATCATTGTCAGTACAACCCATTAGAGCTTATATGGGCACAAGTGAAATGTGAAGTCGCCACAAAAAATGTGTCATTTAAAATTTCAGACGTAGAAAAATTAATAAATGAAGCATTAGATGCTGTGACTGTTGAAAATTAGAAAAATTATGCAAGTCATTGCAAAAATTGCAAGACGCAGATTTTATAAAGGAAGGTTTACATGACGAAATTTTGGAACCGATTATATTGACAATTAATCCAGACCAAGATTTCGAAGATTGCGCAAATGATGATGAATGAATTTTATTAAAAAAAGGTTATTTGTTCAATTTTTTATTATAATTATGTAATATTATGTTATGTAATATTAATTAATAATTAATTTAAAAACAAATAATAAAAATTGTTATACTAAATTAGCAAAATTTTTCATAATTTGTATTAAGAAATAATACATTTAAATAAAGGTATAAAATTAATTATATACACAAATTAGTAATTTAAATTTATCATGTTTTGTTAGACACATATTTTAGAGCCCCTACGTCAAAACTCCACCAGGCATGCCATCGTCGAGGGTCACTTTTCGTGAAAACGGCAAGCAATTCGCTGCATGCGTGTAGTTTTTAGTGTTAAAACTGATAAAAGTTAAAAAATTATATAGCAAATTGAGATTGTCTTTAGATCATTGTATTACTATTATAAGTTATAACTATTAATTAGATCACTTAAAAAAAGTTGTTTCTGCCTCCTGGATACTTTTCTAAAAATTTGTAAGGTCTTGGAATGTCGTCTTAACATTATTGAGGTTTAGAATTCAACAGAATTATATACTTTTCCTGGCCACTTGACGGCGCCAAGAATAATATAGTCTTGAGCATAAATGTTAATAAGTATATTTTGATAGGAGGATCTGATTTTTTTGCCCTTTCCAAAAAATCCTATCAGGAAAAAACGTTTTCCATTTTCATTTCTGTCAACTACCGGTTAGGCAAAGTTTTTCTATTTTTACCACTTTTGAGTTTTAAAAAATTCCTTCTTAGTGGGTCTCTATATCATAAAACGAAACTACTAACCAAATTTCATACTCAGCAGTTCCGACAAGATGATAATGAATCAGTGAATCAGGATATATTATTATGTATTATATATATATATATATATATATATATATACACATTAAAGTATTAAATAATATGTTCAGTATATTATACATCAGCTTACCAGCATCAAAATACAAATCTACATCACTATCATCATTCGCAATGCCATACATACGAGAACCAAAAATATAAACTCGTCCAGAATTTTCCATACAGTTTTCAATAGAGTTCTTAAGTTTATCAAGGCGTTCTTTGATCACCGGATCGTTATTTATTTGATCGATTGACGATATCAAACATTCAATTTGATGACAAAATTTGCTTTTATCGCGGAGCAACTCTACACATAAAATGACAAATTGAAAATATAGTTCCTATTACATTTCTTATGTATATATAATGTATGTATAAATGTGTATGCATCAATATATTTTGGATTTATTAAATATACATTATTTTAATTTTTAATTATTTTAAATTTACGAGTAGGTATACCTATATACTAAGCCACGACAATTAAAAAACATTGCCGTTACTTGTTATACTCGTTTAACGACTGTAGTTGACTTATAGTTGTTCATATTGTTCGTAATATTTTACTTGGCCGCCAAACGATAATCGTTATTGATTAACGAAAATTAAATGCTGGGAAATTTATATTTTTTATAGGTACCCAATAATACTATACACGTGTACCACAATCGCGGCACACCTACAGACAGTTCGCGGTACACTAGTGGATTGCAGAACAGCAGAACACCGGTTGAGAAACACTGATCTGTAGGCTATAATAATAGTACACAAGTATTATGTAACCTATAAGTGTAATTACTACACAATCAATATTCAATTAGACATTCATTTTATGAACTGTTAGAATGTTCCTAAAATTATTATAATTAATTAGATACTTACAAATTTCCAATTAAATAAATAATATAACGCTGTACTATTGAGAGCCAAGAAGGTGTGGACGTACTTTTTGTTTACTCTCTCAAACTTACGTACAAAATAGACAAAACACATTCATAGAAAATAATTTTTTTGAGTAAAATTGTTTAATATATTACAAAAGTTATAAAGAATAATATTCATAGGTTATGACACTTTGATTTTGTTTCAAAACAATTTAATATCTATTTAAATTTATGGAAAATAAAGTTTTTATTTTTGAATTCAATATAAAATCAAATCAAAATAAAATACAAAACTCTCAAAAATATATTTTATAATTTGTGTAATAGGCAATTAAATTTGATTTTACTCTAAGAACTGGTAACTATATTAACCGTCAACTACATAAATACCTGATTATGTACACTAAACTGTTAAAAAAAGATATTTAAATTTATAAGACAATCAGTAAAATTTAAATATAATATTATTGCATATAACTTGCATGTTATATTTTATATATAGCTATAGACTAAATTTTAAAATGAAAAGTAGAAAGGTACTTTTAAAAATGTTTTCTCATTTTAAATTTTTGTATTTTTATCTATTATTTTAACAATTTTAATAATGATTAAAAAAAAATCTCGAGTATTGTCACTTAAACTTGTTCATGATTAAATTCATGGTTATGATAGATAAGCAAGAAAAAATGTCTACAGCACGTAGTTGTTCTCAAGTACTTAACAACCTGAGTACTAACTACGTAAGTATTTGGTGCTTAACTTTAGTGATCAGGAGAAAACTGGTGTATTAAATGCGATATAATCGGTAGCGGTATTAGTGATATTATAATACCGAATCCTAATTACTTACAAAAAGTTAAATAAACAAATGTAATGTAAGGTATTTTAAAATATTGAAAATGTACTTAGTCTGTTAGTAATTCTTAATTCAAATCTCCCATCTTATAAATAAATTATATGCATATTTATAAACGTGTCTTAGGATATTACTAAATATTCAGTTTTATATTTCCAGAAGCTTATTGGAGGATTTTGGCCTAGCGGGAAAGCGGAATTAACTGGCCAGACTAGATGTAGACTGGATGGAGCTTAGCTGGCTCAAAATTAACATTTTTTCTAAAATCTCAAATCAATATTGTACATTATTATAATAGAAACAGGTATAAATAGCATGAATAATTTAAATAGTGCCGGGCTAAATTAAATTTATATTTTTAATATTGTTTATTATGGTGACGACCTACATTTATAACCATTTTACGATTAAATTATGCTTAAATAGGTTTACTTTGATAGTCGTTAATATATTATTTTAATTTGGAGTTTATAAATTTTCATCGTTCAACCCGACCACATCGGAAAGCCTGAGGCTCAGTAGGACTATCCTCACTGTTCCACTGGCTATTTGGTTATCCGTCTGTCCGTTTCTGTATATTTCAGTATTATTCTTACCGTGGAAATGATCCATTTTAAATATTTCTTCGAGACTTATAGTAGGTATTAAGTAATATTATGATCACAATTCAGAATATCAAAAAAAAAAAAAAAAAAAAATGTTGCAGTAATATTTTAATAAATTAATTGTAACAATTATTGTACGATACCGTTTTAAACTACATACAATATTTTAATATGAAAAATATTATATTTATTGACTATATTATTTGTTCTACACTTTACGAAAATAAACTATTTGATAAATAAATTACTTTTCATAGTAATACATTTAGAGAGTGAAGTGAATTGTTTGTACTGAAAAACCACACTTTTCATCATAGTAATGATGAAATTTTACGTCGCGAATCGCGATTATTATATATAATATGTGAATATTGTGAATAGATACTGTATACTATCAAAGCTAATAAGATAATTATTATGATACAGATTGCTCAGTATAGTCAACATATACTGCGCATTGATTTGCTACGTTTTTCAAATAATTTATATTTTAATAGGTAACACTGATAAAATGGTGGGTTTTAGAAACGATTTAAGGTATGAGATTTAAGTACTAAAATAAGTACCTATATCTTAAATCGTGATTATAGACTATAGTCATCAAGTTATGGTGCTAAATATTTCATAATAAGTTTATTATTAAACACAGCATTTTTCCATTTATCCGAAAAAGCCTATGATGAAAGGGACGGATTGAATAATTGAAGCAGGGGAACGGCTAAGACGCATTTACATTCACTAAAAAATATACTTGTTATTGCACATGTTCTAATATTTACGCAGTTGAGTTCTTCATACAATATGTTATTTAAAATTAATGTACACTTATTAAAACCAACAGAGTGCAAGTTAATATTGTCGATACCAAACACTGTCTCATGATTAATCTGATCGAATAGATATTTTTATGTAGGTACCTACCTATTTTGGTAAAATATATGTAACAATATAACTATGTACCATGACCATATAATATATATTTTTTTAAATCATAAATTATGATTTTATAATATTTAGATATACTTAGTCACAGTTCACGGATATTGATGTTAATTAAATATTAATATACTTATAAAAAGAAATAGTTTTAAGAATTCCCTGAAACTATTCTTTATAAAATAAAGTTTCATATCCTTGAGGCTTGAAGAAATATCGTTTAATATCAACAATATAAAATCTATTGAAATCAACTCAACAACTGCTGTATGGAACACTAACTATATAGAATCTAGTATAAAACTTGATACTTATCTAATTTAGCAAAAATGATACATTCCAAATTTCCAAAGTTCCAACACGAAATAATAAACAATAAATTCACAAATTAGGTACTATTAGATCGAAACAAATGCTTCCAAAACTATAAAGACTGTTTCGCCGTCAACGACACTGAAAACAATGCCCTCTACAAATTTACCCTTCTCTAGCATACACATCGCAGAAACTTTCATCATACTCAAAGCTATATTTATTTCATTCTTCACTAACCGCGATAAAATTTTCATCCAAAGATTTAGGTAAGCGACTATGAGCACAGTTACTTCAATAGGTATTCGCGATGTTCACATAAAATGCAACCTAACCCGAAGCATCCAAAAAATAATTTTCGACATTAACTAAACTATCAAATTCATGTGGATTCCATTCTATATCATCATAATAGGCAACTAACTCTTCAAAAATTAGTAACGGAAGCAGTGAGACCTTTAAACACTAAAATATATTCATACGGAAAATATGAAGGTGTAATCCATATCATCAAGATTATTTGTCATTCCTTGTCTCAATGAGAAAAAACAATTTCATACAACTATAAACTTTGAAGAATTAATCTAATAATAATAAAAAAAATTATTTTATCTAAATATATAGATGTAGAAATGTAGTATACCAACATTACCAACACCGACACATTTTCACATAAATTAATAAAACTGGTAAAAGGAAAAACATTAGAGCACTGTTTTGCTTTAATAAAATAAATTTTATTTGTCATTTGGAATTTAATAAGTTTTTTAGTTTTTAGGAGAATTGTCAAGTTGATTATCTGGATCGAAAGAACTTTAGAACTCCAACATTATTTCATTAGATTGGATTAGATAGTTTGTAATTTTTACTTAATTATTCTATCAAGATTATTTGAGATACCCACCTATTGAGGATCATTAGAAAACTATGGCTTTCAGTTGATGCCATGTTCTAACTATGAGTAAGTATCTAAGCCAGGTATAAATTATGTACAGCAATTTAGCATTAGTACAATTAGTTTATTCTTATGGTATACCAATTTGGGGAGAAGCTTTAAAACTAATTTTATTGTTATTATAAATAGTATTAAATTCTTATTAATTCTATCAATGAAAAACTAGCACTACATTAATTTATAAAGAATTTTAAGCTTATTTAAAATTTATCAGTTCTAGTTGATTTGTATAAATATAAAAATTAAATTCCTTTATTAAATCATAAGCACACCAAATTAAACAAAATATTAATATAATCTTACCAAATTATTTTGTTAAAAAAGTGTGTTATACACGATTTGAAGTTGTGTCGTTTACTAAATATCAATATAAACAATTTTAAAAATGTAATGTTATTTAAATATATATAGATAAAACATTTAGATTTATCTAGTTTGTAATTCTCATTTTATATAAATAGGATATTTTTTGAATTTTGTTTATTATATATGATATTTATTATAAAATTTAACTACCTATTCTGTTTATCATCTAATTATCATTATAGATAATATATTCTGTCATAAAAATACTTAAATTAAACTTAGTCTCCAGCACAAGCTTAGTTTATAGGGATTGCAGCAATATAAACTAATATTTTTGTAAAAAAATGTGATATTTTATTGTTACAATAAAGATGTTGTTAGTTATAAAACATTCTGATGGTTGTATACAGAATAGGTAATATTAGGTTCTAGAACGATTTTTTTATTTAACTTTGTTCTAAGACAAATAATTTGAGTTTAAAATATTATGCTTATAAAATAACAAAACTATAAATCTACAGCTGTTGTACATCATTTTCACCAAATTATTAAATTTATTTTTTAATGTGAATTCAGATTTTTAAATTAAATTTATGTAGCCTCTTATTTAAGAATTAATTTATTGTACCAAACAAAATTTATGGTAGATAGCATCTGTAAGAACTTGCAGTTTTCACATGTTAAATTTTAATTAATATCAGATTCAACTAAAATATTCAAATTTAGTAATATATATGAATACATATAATAAATTTATAATTTGAGTATAATTTATTGACAAATGTACTCCAATATATTTTTAGTGTAGTAGAATCTAACAATTAAATATGTATATACATATCTAATAAATAGTAGAAAAACAAATTAATAGTCAATTTGTTAATGGAAAATAAAATATTAAAATAGTCATAAAAACTGTTATTAGTAAAATATTTATAATTATAATATTCTATATTTGAATGTATATTTAGATTAATATTATTTATGTTTATAATAAAAATAAAACATGATAGGTATATTTCTGAGAATATACTTTTTATTCAGGAACCTAATTATTATTATCTAGATATTTTTTAAAACAATAAACTTAATAAGTTATATATTATAATTTATAAATAATTTACGAAATTAATTTTGAGAAAAACAATTTCATAAAAGTTAAAAAGTATTAAAATTTATAATTTATACTAAAGGTTGTCATAAATATTATACATATCAAAAATAAATTAATATCTTATCATAGCAAGTAAAGCTCTAGAATTAGTGATGACTTTATTTGATACTTTTTTAATTAATTTACGTTTCCTTGCATCTTCTAATAAATCAGACCATACTCGTTCTCCCTATAAATATATACATATATAAATTCACAAAACACATATATACATAAATATTTACATACACACATTAGTATATAAATACAATAGTTGCAGTAATCATCTACAGATTGAAGATTATAGAATTATTGTTATTAATATAATTATTGTACTAAATCTTTTAATTTTTCTTTTTGCTTGGTATAATTTTCCGGTCTTGAGATTTTTGAATAAAATATTGTAATGCTTTATTGGGATAGTAAGTTGAATTTATTGATTTTATAAGATAAATGTTTATTATTATTAAAAATAAAAGAGACTGGAGATTAGTAATTGTATAGGATTATCACATAGCCGGAGAATTACCAAAACTACTGTCTTATTGTTAAAAAAAAAAAAAAAACTTATAAAAAAAATCTCACTTTTAAAGACATGAAGTTTCCACATATTATTAATGATTGCTTAGCACGTGTCAAAGCAACATTCAAACGACAAATATCATCCATAAATCCAACTCCATTAGTACGAACTGTTGATATCAATAATACATCACATTCACCACCTTGAAATGAATCTATTGTATTGACGTTAATCGAGATCTTCCTTTAAAAATATTTGTGTAAGTAAACAATTTATATAATATACAAAATTAGACTTTTTACTTTTTCTTTAACAACATATTTATTTGCTCTCTTTGTTTATGATAAGGTGTTAAAACTGCAACGGTTAGTGATTGACATTCCGAATTGAGTAAAATTTCTACCAAACTCACAATCATATATGCTTCACCAATATTTAATTCACTAAAGGAAAATATATTTTTTTTATCAGAAAAATTTTCAAAATGTATAAAATATGTATACCCAGTATTATCTTGTTGGCTTTCATGTTCTAGGATCATATATGGCTGGAATGGCAGTTGCTTTCTCGTTTTAACAGATGGTGCAGTTTTAACTAAACCTTTATAAAAGTATGTTGATGGAAATAAACAAATTTCATAATGCATTCGATATTGTATGTTCAACATTGCAACAGGAAAACTTTTTCGTGTAGAGCGCTTACGTTCAAACCATGTTTTAAGCCGTTTGAAAAGAGAAATACCAAGGCCATTATCTTTAGCCACCTAAAGGCATTTAATTTAAATATGTTATATATTATGATGTGCAGATTCTGTAAATTTATTTTTAAGAAATGCATGTTCATTTTCAAAAATAATATGAATAAATGGTTAAATTATACGTTTTATTTTATTTTGTAATTAATGTATTAATTTACGTAACTTACCTTACTCTTTACTAATGGTTGAAGCTGTTTATCATCTCCAACCAAAATTAATTTATTAATACCAAGTAATAACGGAACATAAATTAGAGGTTCTATTGATTGTCCAGCTTCATCTACTATGCAGGCAGTAAAATGACAACTATTTAATAAAAAATAATACAATTCATAAACAAAGAATATTTAATTATTCAATCATAAAAATAAATAAATATTTACTTAATATTTGAAGGCTTAAACGTATCCTCCATTGTCTTAGAAAAACAAGAATTCAATGTTGTCACTATAACTTCAGCATTTAAAAGTATTTCATTTTCAAGATCTTTTTTATTGGTATATATGAACAAATTATTTGTTTGACCTTGTTGCTAATTAAACAATCATACTAAATAATTTAAAAATTTAAATATAATAATAATAACAATAAATTTATATTTTACATCAGTTTCATTTGAAGGATTCTCCATTCTTTTTTTGATTACAGTATCCAGCATTACATCAACAATAGGTGATTTTGGATCATATTTTTGTCCACTACCCACTCGTATCACATCAAATTGTGCTTCATCTTTATTAATTAATCAAACTTATAATTTTATTTTATAAAACAAAATAAATAGAAACTTACGTTTTAAGTCCTTTTTGATTTCTATTATCCGTCTTACTATCACATCAGCAGCTTCATTAGAAGGTGCGCATATAAGAAGCTTAGGTTTAGTTTTGGTCAATTTGTTAGACATTAAAGTCAAAATGATATTACAGATAACATTAGTTTTTCCTGTGCCTGGAGGTCCAATTATTAAACCTACATTTGGTTCTACAGAATTGCAAATTGTTGTAGCCATTTTTACTGCTTCTTTTTGACTATTGTTCAATAATAAACTCTAAATAAAATTATAATCATAATTATATAAAATTAAAATAGACTTAAAATTTTGCGTTATTTACGTTTATGTTATAATTTTTTAAACTAGCTTTCGAAGAATCAATACTGAAGTTATGCAGTTGTGGAGTAATGAGTGCATTGCATAGTGGAGATCTTGTCACATTAATTAAAGCTTGAAATAAACGCAGTTCTGAGTGTAAATAAAAAATATCCTAAAATCAATAATATAGTTTATTAAATTAACTAATATTTTGGTATATATTATATGGTATCAATTTAAAATAATTAACAATAAAAGTTTTCAGTTTTTTTCCTAACAAATTATATACTTATTTGATATGTTGTACAGTTTTTTAAATCAATTTGAAATCTAACAATAAATAAAAAATATACTACAGCTTCTAATATTTATATATTTACATTTATATGGAAGTAAACAAATAAATAAAATATATTTATACTTATATTATGTCTTACTTCTATTTTGGTTTTCAGTTATATTCATACCAAATAATTAAAATTAATTATTTTAATAACGTTTTTAAAAACACTTAATTATTAGTTGTTGATTTTTTTTTTTTTTATATCTCATATTTTAGTTTATTTTTAGAGTACATACAACATAAATTGGGTATATTTTTTATACTATAGATTTTGAACCCATTTAATTTACTATTGGAAATATACGTATAACATATTAATAAATATAGTATTAATTATATTTAAAATATTAATTTGTAATAAATTTTTTAGTTTTTACCATTAAGTGAATATGAGTTCCATTAGGAATATTTTCAGTCTTCTTTGTCACAATAAGTTCTATGTACAATTGTGAATTTGAGTGGTACCCTAAAAAATTAATAACAACAATTTATTACAATGCAAATATTTTAAATTTACAATTATTTACCAATTTTTTTTGCCATATTAACATAGGCAAAAAAAATATTTTTAGATTTCATTGGTTTTTTATTTTTAATAACCTCTGTTTCAAAGCATTCCGACTGTACTATAATAATACATAAACATCCTTTCAGTGAATTTCTTGATCCCGTTAAAGAAGTTTCAGTGTTTTTATTCGTCCCTAAAAACAAAACATTATGTACATTATATATGTAAAAGACAATGTAAATGTAATTAAATTTATTGATTTAACAAGTAAAAATCTGATTTAGACAATTTCACATATTGTTTTTAGAAATACATACTATGAATGTTTAGGGAATGGTTTGAACTATGTCATATATGTGGAGCTATACAAAATTTTTTATATAGCTTTTAGCTACATGCCAATAAATCATTTTTCTCCAGGCCAATTGACCAATTTGTATTCATTTCTTATCATAAAAATATATATATATAGTTTGAATTATTTAATAATTTGTTTATCTTATTTATTGAATTGAAATTTTTTTGTTATAAATAGGTTTTTTAAGGTTCAAAGGCTTGAAAAATTCTATAACAAATTTTCATATAGTCCATATAGATACACCTGATATAGGGTTAAATTTATTATACATTATTAATTTAATACTAACAATGATTCATTAAAATAAAATTAGTCATTAAATACTATCATTTAGATCAGGAGTGGCCAACCTATGATCCACAGGTTGCATTCTCTGGGATAATTTATTATTTAACGGTATTTCAGATTTATAAAAGTTTTAAAAAATATATTTATTTTTATTTTTTATACTTAATATAGAAACCCTCAGGGGGGCACTATGTATTTAGTGCTACGGGCTTAGGGGACCCGGGGCCCCGAGCTGACTTTAATTAGTTGGCTCAAATTGGTGCTCCAGATTGGGGGTTTGAGCAACGGGCTAACAACCCGTTCTCTTTAAAAAACATACTCTTGTTAAGAAACTTCAACTAAAGCCTCGGACTGTGGATAAAAATGGATCACGAAATGGAAATAGGACCCGGAAAGATTTGGAGTTACGGATTGGAACATGGAATATAAGAACGCTTTTTAAACCAGGCGCATTGAAATGTATGATTGATGAAATTACAAGATATAAAATCCCCATAGTAGCCATACAGGAGGTTCAATGGCCCAATAGTGGTAGTACACAAAGTGGCAACTCAATAATTTTCTACAGCGGTCTACAAACAGGTAGACATGAGAAGGGAGTTGGCTTTGTGATTGACAAAGCCGTGATGAATTATGTTAAAAAATTTGTGCCTGTGAATGAGCGTATCTGCTACATACGAATTGCAGAAACTAGACCTAATAATATTGAACTGTTATGCATCGACTGAAAATGCAGACGACGAAGAAAAAAAATAGTTTCTATGATACGTTAGAAGCAACTTTTGATGTTTTGCCCAAAAATTGTATAAGGCTAATTGTCGGAGATCTAAATGCTTAAGTTGGTAGAGAAACTTTCTTTGGACAAACGATTGGAAAAGAAAGCTGGCATCCTACTACAAATAACAATGATCACAAAATAGTTAATAGTAATTTTGCTCTTCAAAAGACCTCATAATTAGTAGTACCTATTTCCCAAGAAGAAACATTTATAAACATACATGGTCTGCCCCAGATGGGAAGACGAAAAGTCAAATTGACCATATCATAATAAACAAGAGGTACAAAACATCAATTCGTAATGTTAGAAGTTACAGAGGAGCTGATGGAGATACTGACCATTATTTAGTTGTTGCAACGTTTGTATTAAAGCTATAAGTAAAATGGAGGAGTAAGAAACAAACAGGAAAGAATAATAAACTTGATATGGAAAAAGTTAGGAATCTAAAGGAGATAGACACATACCAAAGAGAAATTTGGGAAAATCTCAGAAAATATAATCTTGCAGAACATGAATCGGATAACGTTATACTGTGGTCAAAGACAAAAGAATCTCTAAAAAAAGCCGCTGAAAGATTACGAGGTAAGCGCATTAAACAAAAAGAAAATCATTGGTTTAATTTGGAATGCCAAGTTGCTATTAACAAGCGAAGTTTAGCTCGACAAAATATGATGCTGAATCAAACAGAAGAGAACATAAGTGAAACTCTAAACTCAGAACCCTAGCAAACAAAGTGATTAGGCAACAGAAACGCGCAATGGAAAAGAGTTACAGAAGATATCGAATATTATAAGAAAGAACCTAGATTGTTTTTTAAGAAGCGCAGATCGATTAAAGACGGATTAAAGGCACGTACTAATTTCATCACAGATATAAATGGTCATATAATATCGGAACCTAGCGAGATCGTAAACAAATTTCAAGAATATTTTGAAGAACTGTTAAATAACAAAAATACCCGCACTGGAAATAACAACAATAAAAAGTACGAAGAAATACGTGAAGCAGAATCTGAACTACCAGCACCAAATATCGAGGAAATTGAAATTATTATTAGATCACTAAAGAATAATAAATCTCCAGGGGAAGATAATATAAATCCCGAACTACTAAAATTGCAAGAAAAGAAATTTTAATTAACATACACCAAATTATAGCGAATATATGAAACAGCGAGCAAGTAGAACAGTAATGGTCGTCATCTGTTATCTGTCCAATTTTCAAGAAAGGGGATCCAACTAAAGTTAGTAATTATCAAGGTATATTGCTTCTAGACACAGCGTACAAGGTGCTCTCATTAGCTATCTTACGAAGAATAGAAGCATTAGCAATAGACATTGTAGGAAAATATCAGTGCGGCTTCTCAAATGGAAGATCTACCAGTGACCAATCTTCACGCTCAGACAAACAATGGAAAAGTATTATGAGTACGACAAAGATCTACACATGATATTTATAGACTTTAGACAAGCGTCCGATAGCATCGACAGAGAACAACTATGGACAGTACTTCAGAATTTTGGGTTGCCTAAGAAATTGGTTAATTTGGTTAAAGGTTGCAATTCCAATACTACATGCAAGGTGCGTTTCATGGGAATGGAGTCAGGGAATTTCGAGGTCAAGTCAGGCCTAAGACAAGGGGATGCGCTATCCCCCATTCTTTTTAATATCGCTTTGAAAAAAGTGGTCAGAGATATGCATGAAACGCGAGAAATGGATCTAACTGGTAGCGGCACACTGTTTGCATATGCTGACGACATTGTCATTCTTGGAGACTCTCAAACCGAAGTAGAAGAAAGTACAAATAAATTAATTAATTCTAGCAAAAGACTGGGCCTCAATATAAACGAGAATAAGATAAAGTATATGATCATGAGTAGGCGACCAGGAATATTACAGAATCTCATCGTAGATGGATATACATTCGAACAAGTAGAAGATTTTAAATATTTGGGAGTCAATTTGAATAATAGGAATGATATGCATAACGAAATTAGATTGAGACTAAATACGGCAAATCGTGGCTATTATGCAATGAGTAAATTATTTAGATCTAAGCTTCTTTCCAGAGAAACTAAGAAAAAGTTTTATATTTCCTACTTACGGCCCATAGTAATGTATGGGTGCGAAACGTGGTCTACCACTAAAGGGGACGAGACAAAGCTTTTAATATTTGAAAGAAAGATCCTCAGAAGAATATATGGTCCCATATATAATACGGAAACAGGGGAGTACGAAAGGAGAACAAATGCAAATATTGAAAGAATCTTTAATGGACCAAATACCCAAAAATATCTGGTCTCAAAGAGACTGGAATGGGCTGGTCACATATGGCGAGATAAGGACAGCCAAATGAGACAAGTTGCGATATCTAAACCAAATAAAACACGCCCCAGAAGAAGACCACATCAGTGTTGGATAGATCGGGTAAAGAAAGACTTAATGCAAGTAGATGAAAGTGCAATAATTGAGGATGCAGACAACAGAGACCGATGGAGAGGCTTAGTAGAAGCAGCGAAGGGCCTTAATGGCCTGTAGAAGCTTATAAAAAAAAAAAAAATTAATATAGAAATATATAATTTTATATGTCACCCATGAACCATGTATTTATAAAGTGACTAGAAAGATCATTTAAGTTGATCACTCCTGACGATTCAAATTTCAAATTTAAGAGGACGCCGCACCCGCATGTGTTGTCTCTGTCTTACATACATACAACATAGCAAATTTTCGTTCAGCAGAATCCATTTTATGTTGTTAGCTTTAATATTAGAGTAAATTTATCTATTATCAAACTTAAATATAAGAATTTTATCTAGAAAATGACATAGGATTTTATTGATATTTTAATTTTAAGCTGAGTTATAGTCAAATAAGATATTGAAACTTTAAAATGCTCATAACTCACTTTAAAATTATAATATTAACAAAAGCCTAAATAAAATTCTTACATTTAAGTTTGATAATAGGTAAATTTACTCTAATGTTAAAGCTAACAACATAAAATAGATTCTGCTGAACGAAAATTTGCTATGTTGTATGTATGTAAGACAGAGGTAACACATGTGGGTGCGGCGTCCTCTTAAGTTAGTGCAAATAGTAATTGATTCAAAGCAAACATATTTTAATATAACAAACAAGATGATTTCTTCATCTGCTTTAAGCTAAGGATTACAATAAATAATAATGAATTAGTAATATAAGATGTTGTTATTATCAATTATTTTTTATAAAAATTAAATTAAATCTTTGTATATTACGGGTAATAATAATAATAATAATAATGATGATGTCACTTACCTATACATTTTAAGCACCATAATGGCTGATTAATAGATTTTAATGCTTGCACTGACGAGGAAAATTCATCATTGACAGACTGAATAATAAATGTAGAGAGAGGTAAATTTCTAGAAAATATAAATTGGATTAAAATCAATAAGATAAATTACATAAAAAATTATAAATTAATATAAAAGAATTTTAAAAAATAAAAATAAAAACACTAATTATGATAATTTTTAAAAGGAAATATTATCCAAAATATAAAATAATACATAAATTTAACAACCACCAATTTATGCAACTGTTTATACCCTATACCAGTTTCCCAACCTATAGATTATGTAGTGACACAAATTAGAATCATTAAATATTTTTGATAGGTTGCTGTTCATAAACTAATAACAAGGAAAAGAAAAATTAATTTGAATTTAAAATATTTTTTATATTTAACAGAATAATGTATTTATTATTCAGTATTGCATTATTTTAAAGTCAAAGTTAGTAAACAACATTGATCACTATATTATTATGGCATACTTGATTTTTTTGATCTAACAAAGATCATAATTATGGGTTTTCTTAGTAAAAATGTTGGGTTGGGAAACGTTAATCTAAACCAAGCTTACCCGGAGTAGTTTAATGTATTTATCAAAATCAAACATACATATAATATAGTAAGTATAATATTACTTATTAAACAGGTATAACTTTATTTTGAACTTGAATATTTATTGCATAAAGATAACATTTAAGCATAATATATTTATGTTTATTAAAATAAAAAATTACTTCTTTGAAGATTTTTCAAAAATACATCTTTCCAAATCGGGGCTTTTACTAAGTATCATATGATATGATTCACTTATTTTTGACCAAATTTCATAAAATAATATTGATTTCATTGTTGAAGAATATTCAGACGGAGAATCAAATTGTTCTTTCATTTTGTAAATAGCTTTTACTAATGGTGGAGATGTATCGGCAAATTTTTCCTCCTATATAAAAATACCAAAATCAAATTACTAAAAACTTTAAACAAGAATTATGTAAATTGTTATTTTTAAAGTAACTTACATATAACCAAACAGCATTCCATTTACATATTTTACTAAGTGTATCAAAAAAAACAAAATTAATTGGTTTGATAGTTGTTGTAGTTGAAGAACCTATATTTGTATAATTGGAGAATGAATATTGTTCATTTTGATTGTTTGTGGTTGAAATTAATTTTTGACAATTAAATTCAACTTTTTTTTTAACCCCTTGTGAATGAGATTTTGATGTACTAGGCGTGCAATTATCATTATTAATTTGTTCTATTCTAGATACTCTTCTTTTTTTTTTTAATTTACCAATTGTTGAAGGATTATCAATAAATGGGTCATCATCAGTTGATGGATTATTATTTATTATTTTAAAAGATTCATTTAATGAGTTATTTGTGGCCAAATTCTTAATTCTCATTTGTCTTTCTTGAATAATTTGTTTATTTTGATCAACAATCGCTTCTTCTGCTTTCTTTTTATTATGAATTAATTTTTCAGATTTAGCTCGAGTTTTCATTAAATATTTATTCTCAACTAGTAGCTTTGTTTGTCCTCTTTTACTAACTTTCATTGGAAAAGGATCAATAATTTTTGGGTATTTACTAGTGCAATCACTTTCACTTTCACTATCACTTGAACTTATCAAATTTATATTATTGGAATTTAAATTAGATGGAATGTTTATCAAATCATCTTTATTATTAATCAGTATTTCATTTTTTTGACATTGAATTGACAACTCTGGAAGATTCAAATTATTTTCTATTTTTGAAGTAGATGGACCTGAATGTTTTGTGTATATGTTAGTGTTTATTTGCTCTTGTTTGTCAATTATATTGTTTGACAATTCTAAGCCATTTTTATTTATATCATTTTCATCATCTGACGAAAAAACTACAATAACACTATCTTCTTCATTTCGATATGTTCCTTGACTAAATACATTATTTATAGTATCAGGTTCTATTTTTATTTTTACTGCACTAGATATATTATCTTTATAACTAGAACAGGAAGGTTCTGCATTATTTGTAGGAATTGTTTTGAGGTCTTCGGCTAATAAATTTTGATCATCAGAATTTTTATTAGCAACATTAGGCAAAATATTCAATGTATTTGATTGATTGGTATTGGTAATTGAAATTGGTTTCTTTAATATATTACATTCATCTGAATTTGTAACTGAAAAATAAATTATTAAAATATTTAAACATGAGTAAAATGTTTTAAAATATTTATTGTTCACTTTGTAGATTTTATTTTATTTCTTTAAATTACATAGTTGTTATGCCTGTTTTTTTTAGTATGTACAATTTAATAAATATCTTGTAACCAATGATTTAAATATAAAATAGAATTACAAAGTCTTAATAAAATCATCATATACTTATTTTTTATTAGTAATTACTAATTATAATCAGTGGTTACAACTAATAGAAAAAGGAATAATCATTATAATTTTTTAGGATATTTAAAATTATTATTTGATTGCTATTTCTGATTAATTATAATCCTATCTTGTACAAAATAAATATAGTCCATGGAGTGAATAAGATTTATTCATCCATAAGCAGGTTGTACCATTTTCAAAAGAGTATATCAAATAAAACTAAATTGCTATGAAACATGATACTATAATGTATCTAATAGCAGTTTAAATGGAAAAAAAATTAAATATTCTCTCTGCTCACAGGATATTTTATATACTGAGTAAAATGATTTATACTTAAGTTTTAGAATATTTGAACTATTTAGTTATAGATATAAATACATTCTTATAAAATATACCTAATTTTGGAATTTTCACAGCAGTTGATTCATCATCTACATTTTCTTCATTGAGTACTTTTCTTTTATTATTCATTGGATTATTCTACATAATATAAACAAAATTATTTATAATATATATATATAATATTAAACATTCATAAAAATAACAAAATAAACTCACACATAGATTTGAAAAATTAATAGTACGATCTACTTGATCAATATATTGTAGAACGACTCCTTCATCACCACTAGCTAACACAATCATATCTAAATCATTCAACTGATGTTCTTCAAATTCAATTAAATTTGTATTGCCAACAAAAGTCCCATTTGATGTCTAAAACAAATAAATATATCAATTGCTATTTAAATAAATACAAATTTTTTATAGAATAATTTTTAACTTAACTATGGAATTATTTCAATTTTATGGTTAAATTAAATAACTAATAATTAAAAGAATAATAATATAATAATTGGCACATCAAAAATGTTTAATATTATTAAGTTATTAAGTCCATATTCACATTTTTTACAAACTTTCTTTGATTTCAATTTGATCATAATATAGTAAAGATTAGTTTAATAAAAAATTTAAGATTTAAATTTAACATGTTCAAGTATCTTTTAACCCAATTCTACGATCTAGTAACCATTAAAAACTAATTTTAAAATTTGACTATTTTTGTCGACTTGATTTATTAAAAATAATTTGTTTTTTAAAAGTTTTAGATTAGGTCAAAAACGTATATTTTCTAGATATTTAACCTTAAAAGTGATAACTTGTACATAAATAATAGACATAATACATAGAACATTGTTAAAATAATAATCATTATTTAGATTATCAGTGAAACAAAGAACGTATAGCTTTTAGATTTCTGTTTTTACTTTAGTACTGAAAACTATTAGGGATGTAATATTATTAAATTTTTTAGTAACTATTTTAGTACAAGGAAAACAATAGAAATATGTAGAATATTAAAATTATGTTATTATATACTTACTATTTGCAATAAAGTACTTATAACTAAAATGTAAATAATTTAATATAAAATTTTTTCTATATAATATATAATACTATAAGTAAAACAGTAAACTTACACCTAAATCCTTGATATATGCAATATCTTTAGATTCTTTTTTTTCGACCCGTAAGTGACAATGAGTTCTTGATACATTTAAATTTTTGAGTACAATATCATTATTTAATCCTCTTCCAATAGTATTCTAAATACAACAAAATACAAAAGATTGAGCAAAAATAAGGCCTCAACTTGAATAAAAGTATTCTAAAATATCATACTAGTTAAATACTTAATCGGTATAGGAATATGCAAAGTTTTTTTAAAATTAAAATTGAAAATAAATTTTACTAATTAACATACCAATTTGATTAAGTTAATACTAATATATGGTTAAATTTGATAAATACATTTAGTAAATATTTTTTTTCTTCAATTTATTGAAAGTAGATTTATATTACTAATACTTATAATATTAGGTTAATTTATTCTGTATTAGATATAAAATAAAGAAAACCTAGGTAATACATCTAAATAATAAATAATACATAAATTGTTTTTAAATTAATTAGTAATATCCACGATAACACATTAAATATAAATACGTACTACTCCATATTTAACTTGATGTATACTCTGGGTAACATCTTCAACATTTCGAAGACATTTAAGAGCACAATTAGGCATACTTTGTTCAACGTTTTCCATTTTTAATTTAATGCAGACACTAAAAAATAATAAATATCTAAAAATGTTAATACAAAATAATATTTTTTCAAAGTACAGATAATAACTTACTACAATCAAAAATATGATGGATTACAATAGGTATCATTAGTAATATTTATAATAAAAAATATCATAAAATAACGCCAATTTAATAAAGTAAAATAATTATTGATGAGTTGAGCTTGTAATTTAAAAAACTATTTTCTATCGTGCACCCATAAATTATTAGTAGAGTAAGTACTCACGCACCATGATGTAAATCGTATTCATTTTGAGATAGTCGTTTGATCTCAGTTCCTAGTAATCGAAAAATCGTTTTCAAACATGTCTGATGATCTGAAGATGAAAAATATAATATCATGTATCACAAGGTAAGATTTATGATGATATTTTAAATTTTTTGATAAATTTTAAAAATTTAACTCTTAATTTGTGAACGTGATGAACATAGTATGAGAAAATATTATCATTATGGCGGGATTCCATGAATTATTATTATCACTAAAATGATAATTGAACAAAACAATAAGGATGATAACATATTTCAGTCAAACCATGGTCTTAGAAGATAAAGTAAAATTGTCCGATCTTTTCTTCTAAGATAATGGTTTTAACTTTACTATAATACCATTGATTATGAATACTCATAGGTGTTGTAAGGAGATAATTAGAGTATAATATATACAGAGTATAATTACTCTGGGAGAGTGTACTTTCACCTCGAATTTTCAAAAAAAATTTAAAATATTGAATGATTGTGATTATATTTTATTTTACATAATTACCAATGAATTACTTATTTTTTGGATTAATAACTGTGAATGTCTAAGTTTTTACACTAATCTCAGAATTTATTTTATGGCTTAAAAATTAATTGTTGGTAGGTACCCCTACCTTAACCAAAGTTGTTAAATATCAAGCAAAAGTGGGTGGGTAAGTTAATAAAAAAAAAATTATACTTGAGTTAATTTAATTAATGTTGGAGCATTTTGTTATAAGTTAATAGTTAATTAATAACAATTTTAGTTATGAAAATTTAGAATTAATAGGGAAAAAGTATTAACTTAACTCGTAAAAAATAATTAATAATTATTATTTTTAAACTAACATTTAGGTCACATAATCACACTCATAGTAGTGATGTGTAACTATTCATTTTTAAAAATAACCAATTACTTTTATGTTAAATGAATCCTCTGGTATAGTGGTATACCTATTTATAATATAGGTTTAATTAGTAGTTATGCACTTAAAAAATTTAATATAGATAATAGGAATATAACGAATAATCGAATAATGTATTAAATACTAACAGTTAAAATAGGTATAATAATAATTAATTAATTAAATATTTGTAATAGAATAAATAATTGTATGTTATTAATTAGTAACCGTTATTTAGCATATTATCTATAATATAATACCTTTATAGATTTATTAGATTAATTGAGATGCTGTGTTTATTGTTTGGTTTAAAATTATGATTAACAGTAAGTTACAAAAAAATCGAAATTTATTTAATATTTATAATCCTAAATTTTAAAATAAAAATAATTCAAGATTTTTTAATATTTTTTTTTTATTTATTTCTTGTGTTTCTATCCTCTATTTCAAAAATAATCGGTTTTATTGAAAAATTAAAATGTGTCATACAAATTAAAATATAATGATTACCATATTATTATTATTTTTTTATAATTTAACACGATTCTATTAATGAAAAAAAATGCCAATGACACGTAGTGTTCCCATGCGGCAAGCGGTCACCCATCCAAGTACTAACTTTGTCTGATGTTGATTAACATTAGGGACCAGACGACAATTGGTATATTCAACATAGTGTGGTCGTTGGTGGTTTTGATATTGTATTTTTATTTAGTTAAATAATTAATAAATACATTAATTCATGGGCGTAACTTGAAAATTTATTAGGGGGGGGGGGGTAAATATATAGATAAAAAAATAGCTGAATCTTATATTACTTAATTTTAATTACATATATATTAACATTACCTTTTATTGTATCTACGCTATTGTAATAACAAGAAAAATAGGAGAATAAAAATGTAAAGCGAAAGTATCTGGAAGATATCTTTTTACACTTATAAGTGCTGGAAGATATAATCACTTACCAGTTACCAAAATTAAATTCAAGTTATTACCTTCTTCCTGATCTTTGGAGGGTGAAACTACTAGCTGACCCGTGACGACTTTGTCCATAATTGGTTGCTTATTTTTCTTTCGGACGATGTTTGTAGAATTTTTTATTCAAATTTTATTGTTTAATGTGATCGGAAAGTAAATATAAAAAACGATTAATGAAAACGTATTGAAATGTTTCTAGTGGTATTAATGATACGAGTAAATATATATCCATTAAAAATGAATACAGATACAAAAATAAATGTTAATTAATCTGTTGTTGATAAAGAATTTTATAAAATTTTTGAGTGTATAACGTTTTTTGTTCTATCTTCTGTTGAAATCAAAATAATTAGATGATCCAAGTCCCCAGTTTGAGAAAATTTTGCGTATAATTGTCCATGTGAAAATCACTCTGAACGAAGATCTACGCCAACGTAGTTAAATATTTGACCTTGAAATTTTTTATTCGTAATCGCAAAAGAAATTTTAATAGGGAATTGAAGCCATTTGAAAAAAAAAACGGCTGTCAGTGGGAATCATTGGAATTCTTGGAATAAATGCAATTTCTCCTTTTGCTGACTTAGTGAGAATTACGGCTTTTATAATATTATTTCGCAAAGATTTTATTTGTAGTCTTGTACGGTTAAATAAGTTTGGTAGTTGGAGATTACGTAATAATGTAATTGGAGCGCCAACTTTTAATTTTAGCTTATGAGGAGGAAATCTCAGAGGATAGAGAGAATTGAGAAATTCTTGTGGATAATGGATAGCATTATCTGTTAATATAACTGTATCAATAGTATGAATAAGATATTCACGAGAGTCAACCGATTTGGCTGAATTTTTTTACTGTATATACATGACAGTCTGCAGCTCAATGTCAAACATTTAACTCCGTTAGCATAAGTGATATGTAGAGCAAGGACTTTCATGTACTAAAAAATCATCAAATATGCATTTAAAAATATACACTTATACATCAAAAAAAATTAAAATATGCAGTTAAATATGCCCTCGAAAAAATTAATACACTAAAATGTATAGTTCTAAAAATTATATTTTTTCTTTAAATATTTAATTTTAATAATTTTATATTATTTCTATATAAGTTTTATCTGAATTTGTTATCACTTTATTGTAATCTAATCTATAGATTCACAATTAAGATAAAATGAGTTTCTTTCGTCTTAATGAGAATATAGAAATAGTTAAATATAATAATTTGTGTCCTTAATCATGAAAAATATTCACTGAAAAACATGATTTTCGAAAAACCTTTAAAATATGTACTACAAACTAAAAATTATGTCTTTTAAACCCAAAATATGCAAAAATATGCACTAAAAATTTTGAGATTTTGATCACAAATGTTGTGAAATGTATTGTGTACTTACTCTGCATACGAAAAAGTAAACCCGAAAAAATATCCGAATGCATGAAAGTCCTTGCTCTAGTGATAAGTAAGTGATCAGTTAACTACTTTTATGTGATTGAAAGTCAATTACATGGAAAGTTCTTGTTTTGTATACTCGTATTTAAGGTTGCCAATGGTTATAGAAAATAAAAATAAAAATATATACATCTTTACTACTATATAAAATTTTTTAATTTTTCTAGAAATTGATACTTATTTTTTATTAACAATAGTGGTACTAAACCTTCCGCAGACTGTTAGGTATAACAGTAAAACATTTCAGCTAAATCGGTTTAGTAGTTTTCTCGATTAGCGCGGTCGTAGAAAACCCCTTAAAATTTTAAATAGTAGTATTTAAAAGATAAATGATAATAATAATTTGTAGTATATTATAATCATGCACTTTATCAGATTCACAGCAGTGAATATGTTGTGTTTGTTAGGAAAAAGTAAAGTAACACAAATGAAAAGACAACTCTCTGAATACTTGAGTCCAAATAAAAAATAACACTGGTTTAGCTTCTTGAAAGGAAAAGGTCCAGTTGTCGCTCGTAGAATCATGTGTTGAGAGCTCTTTTCGGGTGGTGGGTGTGCGTGTATTGGGCAAAAGATACGACATGGTTAATCTAGCCAGGGAGGCTAGTGGCTTCATCGAAGGCTTCTGCGTTTTCTCAGAATTAGCCTTATCCTTGGCAGTAGAGACCCTTGTTTGGCTTCTTCAGTCTCTGGAGGTACACAAGAAAGCCATACGTCTTGTGCCTCATTATCACCAATACGTGTCAATTTCTAATTTCTATGCGATCTTTACAGTACAAGTCGTCCCTTTCATCAGTGATAAAAGAGTTATTTTGGAATTTACCTTTAACCGTGTGAGACAACTTCGTCGTTATTTATTTATTTATTTATGTTTAAGCTATTATATAATGATATGTCAGCATATCATTACACTGCTATAGTAGCGATTCCCAAACTGTGAGACGCGGCTCTCTTGGGAGGCGTAAGTACTTAACAGGAAAGGCGCAATATAAACATTTATATTGTACATATTCACTATAAGTATTAATATAGTAACTTATTGCATATTAGTGTATTACACGATATTTATTGTTTATTTTATTTTATTGTATATCTATCATAATTTTATCACAATATTACTACAGCTGAATAAATACGAGTATAATACATACATATATATATATATATATATATATATACACCGTTCGTGATGGTATTAACTTTGATTTTTTAATAACTTTATTCACGTATATTGCGGTGATAGAACATTTATTGAGATAATTTAAGCATTAAATATTACTTAATACATTTTTTTTATAATCTTCCTCTAATTCGCAAATTATTTTTTTCAATTTCATATTTTCATTTTGTAATGTTTTTGCTTTCAACATTTTTTTCTGACGAACTATAAACATTATTAAAAAAAATACAATATTTTATGATATTTTAGAGATACATAATATTAATTTACCAACTAAAAATCTATAGTAATGATTTAATTCTTCGTAGTACATTTTCCACAAATCAACACTATTTGGAATATATTTGACGAGTCGAGACCAATATTCTTGTAAATCGTTTTCACTGATTTTCCACTGTATAAAATTATATTTTTTTTTTAGTCTTTGGTTTAATGACTTGGGTTTTGGGAAACACGTTGATCGCGATTCTTTTATTATTTCTTTTATTATTTGTATGAAATGCTCGTTGTCAATGGATAATTCGTGATTCGAATTTTCACATCGAGTATGGTTAAGTGATGTATTTTCTAAATAAATTGAACGGTAAAATAACACGATATAATATTTTAATTTTTAAATAAATAATTTTAATTTAATTTAATTCATAAAAAGATAACTAAAGTTTAAATTAGGTATACATTTTTAATTAAACTATATTTTTTTTAAATTTATGATTTGAATTCAAAACACAATAATTAAATATGAATGCATCTCGAGAGTAAGCAATAATAATAACCGAATGACGGGATGAGTGAGGAATGAGGATATATGAGATATATTAATTAAAGTACATTTTATTAATCATTATGAATTTTTCGACTAATTTTTTATTTTAGTTTAATTTAATTAAGTACATACCACCAATTAATATTGTAGAATATTTATCATTTTGTCCTTCATCAACATTTTCAAAAGTAATATTATTTGAACACGTACTGTAAAATAATAACAAACACAATGTTATTTTTATTTCATTATTTTAGCATTGTGATTCATTTACAAACATTAAACGGCAAAGGTAATTGTCAGTAATTATTATTCTAAAATAAAGCAAATTTATAAGTACTTAATGTATGATAAATATAATATTGCATAGGATTAATCGATCAGCAATAAAAATAAAAAGTAATTTATTAGCAACTACAACTATAGTTAACCTAACTTAATCTATTGAAGAAACTAAAAATTTGCATGAAATGGATATAATTTATTATATTTATTAGTTATTTTATCTCTCTTAGAACGTACGTTTTGTTTTATTAGGAAATAGGAATAACGTTTTTTTTTATATTTAAAATACCTACGTGTCATTCATAAATTGATGAAGCGGATCTATTTTTTTAAGTTTGTCAATATTTTTGTTTTGCTGAGATATAATTCTGCATAATTTCTCAAAGTATAAATACTTGTTCGATTTAGATTCATTAATGCTATCAACAAAATTATAAATCAATAATTATTACAAGTATATGAGTGGCTTGGTTAATGATTTGTCTGAAAATAACAAGTAGGTACCAATTATTTGATTTTATACTTTTACATATTTTTCGTTCACTGTCTGATGTTCCGATAATTTTACCTGATTCCCAATTAATTTGAGAATTACAAGTAATACATGTCACAAATGGTTTAAATTTAGATTTTATGAGGTGCCAAGATTCTTCTTTATTTAATTTTAATTCACTCAAAGCATTATAAGCGTATGATAAATTTCGCATTGGATTTGAGTCAAAAATTCCATTTAAATTATGTTCAAATACAAAACTTGAGTTCTTAACAATAAAATCCAACAACAGATTATTTAGAGCTTTATCTCTAATATGTTCATAATAATTTGTATCTAAACTGTTGTATGCAGGCTCGTATAATATAAGATTATTAATGTGTTTCAAAAGTGGCACTATTGTATCATTGTCATTTAAAGTTAAATTTTCGAAGAAATGTGTCTTGGCGCTAAAACTCATATACTCACGTATAAAATAATCGATTTGACGGATCTAAAAAAAAAAATATATATATATAAAATTAATTTTAAAGTATAAGTTTAAATTGTACACAATTAATGTGACGTATGATCTGATTCAGCTGAAAGTCCCATAATTGTACATATTCGTCATTATCTTTTTTTGCAATAGAATCAGCTCTTTTTTCTTGTTGATCAATTTTTTGGTTAATATTTATAATTTGTTTTTTAAATGTAGATATTTGTGTTGTATGATCTGATTCAATTTTTTTACATTTTTCTCTCAGGTTATAAACAGTTTCTTGTAAACTATTAGGCACTAGTTGTATTATTAATAAACGTATTAAATCTTTGTATGATATACTTACATATTAATTCTTCTTTTTTGATTGACTATTCTAAAATTATTGTCTTCAATTCTTTTTTTTAAAACGTGACAATTATACTTGAGTTTTTCTATATTTGTTGAGCATCTGATTTTCACGAACTCCAAATCGGTATCAACTCCCTGTATTACCCAACTCATACATTAATCGTTAATGCGATAGAGCCATAGAAATACCTACGTATTATTTTAGTACACTTAAAGCTTTATTTTAATTTTTTAAGTCTAACACAAAAGTACCCACATATGTTAAAAATATTTAGTAATATTATTTAATAAATTAGTATGTCCTTTGAAAAATTGATAAAATTGAAATTAAGCCTTGTCTTAAAGTTATAAGTATTTTAATTCTTTAAATTAATAAACATATGTTTAGGACATAATTTAGGAGATATATGTATATTATAATATTTAATTTTCAATTGTTTTGTACATATTACTTACAATATAATTCTCAGTTGTTTCTATTCTAAAATTTTTTGCATCCTCTTCATTGGTCTTAAATAGTTTTAATAATTCAAGGTTGTTTTTTTCAATTGATGCAAATTGTTTTAATGCTGTACTTGATATTTTATTAATAATTTTATCCATTAAAAGTCTCCATTCAGTAGAATCTTTGTTATTTTTTTTATTTTTTGTATCTTCGATCAACTTCTACAAATTATTATTTATAATGGTTAGGTATAAAATAAATATTAACTGTCATTGACTCATAGTCTATTTATATACATAAATATTAAAATTTAGGTATTAAAGTATTATTATTATTTAATGCTAACTTACAGTAATAGCTAAGTTGTGCTTTTTATGTTCTTCTTTAAGGATTTTTAATTTGTTGTTAGCGATTTTATTTAATTTATCTAGATCATTAGAATTAGAAGATGTTTCATTAAATGATTTGGTTAATAATTCTTCTAGTCCTTCTAATAATTTATCAATAATACTGTCTTTTTGCTTTAGAAGATCTAAACTGTCTTCTAAAAAATAAAATAAATAAAAGTAAGCAAGTGAGTATTGCTCTGATACACATTAGGTGTCGACGAATAGGTTACTATGTTGTGTATGTTAAATTCGAATTCAATGATATATCATTGAATATGAAAAACGACTTTGAGTTGAAAATGTCTGTCATCCTATATCACTAAATATATTTATGATAAGTTTTTTAAAATGATAGTAATTTAAAGCAATTAATTTTACTAGGTATTAATATTACTATATTACTATTTTTTTCCAAAACATTGTGTTTATTTTAGTATTTAATTATTATAATAATACAGTAGAAGCCATTTATTAGGAACACGGATAACTGAAATAATAGCCATATTGAAACAAAATGTTTAGAAATGAACCTACAGTTGTATACTAAAACGTTGAAAATGTTGGAAAAGAAAAAGGCTTTAAGCAACATTATTCTAATTAAGCTATGGTCTTTAAGTTACTCGATACAAAAAAAGAACATTGATAGATACATATTTTACATAACATTTGAAATAATTCAATTTTTTTTTAATAGCAGATGTATTATTTTAAATTGTTATTTTTTTTTCATAACGAATAAAACCAATTGTTTATTTAAAACAATTGGGTAATGACACATTTCATCTTATTCCAAAAGTGTTTCTAATAAATGGCTTTTAGTGCATATTATGTTGTAAAATTTTTAAGTTAATATAATTTTACTGTAAATACCGTAAAGTAGTTCGAATAGGTTCATATTATAATTATTTAATATCTTAAAATTAAGCAACATATTTTTAAAATATTATTGTGTATAGAAAAATTCATAATAAGTATACGCAAAAGTCTTGAGTCTCCATGAATCATGTTTTAGAATTATAAAAAAATAGTGAATATTATATATTTATCATTAATATACGTGATTTTGTCAAAATTAATACTAAAAATATAATAATATTAACAAGATAATTGTGTTTGTATATTTTTTAAGAATTTTTAATTTAAATACTTATGAGGTATATTGTATTACATTTTCAAACCTTAGCTATAAAAATTGTATGAATGTTTTGCTATAAAATACTTGTAATTTATATAATCTTCGTAATTTTGACGAACATTGTAAAATTTGAGCTTAAAATGCATTTAAAATAAATTATATCTATATATTTTTAATAATTGTATACAGTTATAAAAAACTTATGAGGGATCTTGTATTAATTTTTTATTAAAATTTATAGAAAAAAAAATTTTAACAAATAGCTCGAAGAGTCGAAATATTTTAAAACTATACTATGTATAGGAATTGCTAACACCCATATTTAGTGAAAATTTTGGAATTTGTGTGGTATGCGAGCTACATGAAATTTTATCACGTTGTTTGTTAACTACGTTTTGGGTTGTATCTACGTTATACGAAGACTAACTTTATAGGTGTAACCGTATAATTATAAACATCAATAATACACTCTACAGCCTACATTTCATACACATCATATGACTTCAGTATACATATTATATGACTTTCAGTTTGGCTTATAAAAGTGGCGTGTACTTGAATTATTATTTTATTAAAAGTGAATTGTTTTAATGTAATTATTTTTTTTTAATCAAAATGGAGCATTTTATGGATTTTTATAGACATATTATTATTAATGAAAAACGTGCACCAATTAAGAAAAAAAATGTAAATAATATACAAAGTGAGTTCCAAAATTTTAATTATCATGGTAATTTGTTTTAAAATTACACCAAAAAATAAATTTCTTGTTTTTTTATTTAATTTTTTTTTTGATTTTCCTGATTATTTTGAAAAAATACTGGGAATTTTTACTTATTTTTTGACTAACTATATCCAATTTTCTATCCAAAAGCATCCTTTGAGTTTAAAATTGAATTAATTTATCGACTACATATATTAGGTACACAAACACATACATATGTCACACGTAAATCTCGTACAAAAAAAGATAATATATAATCATTGTAGAATCAATGCATTCATTGCATCATAGTAATAGTAATTTGGTTAAAGTAATTGCTATTTTTGTTATACCTACTAAATTAATTAAAATTTACTTTTTAGTGAAACAATGTCTTCTTGTATTACTAGTATATCTTTTTTATTACTAGTTTTTTCTAATTCATCATAAATGTCTATACATTTTTTATTTATGTCATTTATAGAATTTTTAATTTCAAATAATCTCTCCTGATTGACATTTTTATCATACCATTCACGTTCATATTCATTTGTTTGGAAAATTAAACATTTGCCTTCTATAAAGTTATTTAATTCTTCCATTATACTGCCTAGTTCAAATTCACTGTTTTCAATTTTATCGACAACAGGTTGTTGTACAATCATTTTTTGTTGAAATTTTCGCTTTGCCACCGCATTTTCGATACTAGTTTAAGATGTTAAAAGTTTCATTGTGGTGTTATTTTTATAAATTATAATCATTAAATAATATAAATTTTACCTATCGATATTTTGACGTCTCCATATGTTACATTTTCTTAATACTTTTCTTTCCTCTTTTTCTAAAACAATTAAATTTTCATCTGAATCCTCAGTTTTTCTTTTTTCATGTAGTGCTTCAATATTGTTTCGAGACGCATCATCGTGGACTACAAAATATTAATTAAAATAACACTCAAATATGATCACCAACTAGTTTAAAGATAGAAATTAATTGTATGGCTGTTAATTTTTTTAGGAGAGATAACTTATAATTGAAAACCATTTGATTAAGATATTTCATTTCAACAGTACTCACAGTCATTCAGTTGTAAGTTGTGCACCTTAAAAGGATTTAATTTTCTTGTATTGTCCTCGAATTAAAAGTTTGGAGACCTTTGTCATAGACTATAGTATATTAAAAGAAAAAAAATGACTCTGATTTTCTATTAAATAAGAACAATATTTCTTATGATTTAGTTATACATATCTACTTTATTATAGAAAAATGAACTTAGTCATTTTTTATAACTAATAGATTATTTGTGATATTGTTTTATATTAGAAAATAATTTTTTTTTAATACAAAATTAATACAAAACTGTTTAATTATTTATTTAATACAATTCAACAAATCATAATACATTATAGACTAGGTAACATGTCAAGTCGAACAATAAGAATCAGGAAATTCACCCAGCTGTGTAGTAGATTTCTAAGAAATTATATATAATTGCTGTAAAAACTACATAAGAAGAATTTTATATTACCTACTTTTTCCAGCTTTTTGGCTTAGAAAAAAGCAAAATTTATTAAAAGAATTAAAAAGTAGAACATTTAAATCGTTTTAAAGTAGCTAGGTAACTCAAAAAATATGAAATATTTGAAAATTATATTATTTCTTTAAAAAGTTTATAGAAATATTTGGTGGATACTTTAAAAGTATACGACTAGGAATTTTTGATTTTCAACAAAAAACGTGATACATTTTATCGAAAACTGGTTTTTGTTGAAGAGGTTCTCGTTTTCACGTGTTTTTTATTTTTAGTTTATCTTGATTTTTTAAGTATTTATATTTTTCTAACGTAACAACTAGATCCAATTTCCTATCAGAAACCACTTTTGTTACTCTAAAACGGGAGGACAGACAAAAAAAATTATACATATCAATGTAGGTATTAAACACTCATTTTTCGTTCAAATCTAATAAATGTACATAGTGCACTGCATAATGTTCTATAATATTATATACAATAAATGATTTTGGATACATAACATTTAAAAAAAATATAAAACAATTTTAAGAAAAGTTAATTGTTTTTGAAGTATACATATAATTATACAGATGCCTAAGTGTAAAGTAACATATTATAATATATTATGTATATTATATTATTTATCATGTACATAATTGATTTTGCATTTTTATTTTATACTAGTGTATTTTATTAAATTCATATGTATCTATTATACGAGTTATATAATTTTATTTTGTGCTTTACCATTAATTATAAAGTTATGTTTATTTTCTAATATCTTTCTTCGATCACAATATTTTCTAGAGTCAATTAAATTTGCTACTAGGACATTGTTAAATGTTATTGCTTCATAGTCTTCATTTTCCATTTTAAGTTTTGTAACTACTTATAAATTTCTTATTAGTGTAAGAATAAACATAAAATTATACTCAAGAATATTAATCACTAATCAGTTAGATATTAACAAGAAAAATTATTTATTGAACATCTGCTATCTAATATATTTTAATGGTTACTATAGTACCTATTAAAAAAATAAAAATAAAAATAATTATGATTTATAAATCATGATGATTTGAGTACAGGTAATAATAATTTGGTAAAAGAATGAGCTGAAAAAAGTGTATGTACTGGTATTGAAATTTCAAAGTTAAAAATTAATATACTTAACTGTTTTTACGATGATTCTCTCACACTCGTGATATGTCGTACTACGCATATGCATGTAATAACAATTTTAATCATAATTAAATTATTTAGCGTATAATATATACATTTTTTAATGCCATCAGAGCCTTTTTTTTCGTTGCATTTTAATCTGTTCTTTTTTTCTACATAGGTTAGGTACACATAATAGATCCAGCTTCATTTGTTTTAATCTTACATATATGATAACTATTGAGCATTGTACAATCTTTTCAATTTCTTCAATTTCTTCTTCAGTCGTAATAGTTTTAACAAAATTATTTGGAAGCCTTGAACTTGTCAATCTAACTTTTGGGTCATTTCCAAATAACGCGTTATATGGGCTTCTACCAATAGTACGGTGAAATGAACAATTTTTTTTGGCCACTGAACAAATTGAAGACCGGTCGACCATCTCTGGGACAGATTATCTTACATCCATGCTCTTAACATACGTATGTTCAACATCTTGATTGGCCCGCTCAATACTCCCTTGACTCTAAGGATGCCTTGAACGTCCATGCACAATAACACACTCCAGCTAAAGTTGTTTTAATTCATCAAGTACACAGTTTACAAACTCTCGGCCATTATCACTTCGTAAAATACTTGGCGCTCCAAATGTTAGAAAAATACTAAGCAATTGAGTACCGACTTTTATAGCTCTTTTGCTTTCCATAAGACGGAGGGATATAAACTTTGTATTATGATCTTGATAGTTAAGTATCCATTTATACTTTCCATCTGGAACAGACTGAAAATCAATTAGGTCCACTTGTCCTCTTTCGTTAAAATCATTTGACGTAATGGATTTAATAACTAGTTTGTGGTTCATTGACTTTTTACAACTACAAGTTTGACATACTGTTAAAAAAATTTCGATTGCTGGTCTCGGAATGTGTACTCTTTTTATATTGCCATACGAACTTTGATATTTCCACCATGCCCAGTATTTATATGAAAGCTTTTAATTCTGTCAAATAAATCTTCATAGCTTACAATGTACCTATAAATAAAATTTAAATTAATTAAAAATTATATTTTTTATGAAATAATATTATCATTGTATTACCTAATATTTTCTTCTTTTTTTGTAGGTTTGTATATCAAAAAATTTTGATCCGTAACTTTAAACACTGTATATGATGCGAGTAAATAATACTCTTGGTGTGTTTTCGTATATCTATAGATAAAAATAATATATAATTTAATTTATAATTTTTTATCAATTAAAAATAAAATTTTAGAATCTGAGTTAAGCGTAAGAATGTATTCAGTTTTATTTTATGTATGTGATCAGTAAGGCTGTGAGTTTAATGCACTAAAAAACCTTAAAATATTTCAAAAAAATGACGAGCATGAAAAATATAAAATATTTAAAAATGCTCATAATTCACTTAAAAATTAAAATATCGTAAAAAACCAACGAAAGAACACAAATAATGTTCTAATCTAAAAGTTTTATAGTAAAGGTCAATTCACAATAATAATAATATTATTATATACGCGTCACAGTTGTCAATTATTAATTTACAATTTATACATTGAATTAAGTTAAAAAGTATAAAAATTAAAGTTACATTATATTATTAATTTACACAATATATGTATAAAATTATATGGATATTTAATTTTTTTTTATAATTATAGCACATACGTTTTATAATTTCCATTCATTGTTATTTCTCTTCTCTCATATTTTGTAATGTTGATATGGTTTTTATCTTGACGATTTTCTCGACTTTTTATATGTTATTATGAATTTTAAGAATAATTTTTATAATTATGCACAGTAACTTTTTATTGTTATTATTTATTTAATTAAATAAATTCTTACGTTTTAGTTTTAGCAGTGATCATTTGAATTTGTTCCTTTTGACTAAAAGGTTTTTTTCTTCGACTTCGTAACATAATATTTTTGTAACTTTTCATAAAATAATATTTTTTCCATATTATATAAAATAACGTATTACTAAGTCAACAATTACCAAAAACTGATATAAGACAGACTGGCAGACAATTTTCAACGGTATCATACATTATCTATATAACTGTATATTACTATGTATCTGTAGGTACAATCATTTTTAATTATTTGATATCTTATCTAGAAATTACCTGATCGACTGACGAACTAGTTTGTACAATGTACGAGTTACAAATTATAACAAGCAACTTTTATATTTATTTTATACACAATTACCTAGTGCATATCGTATAATTACCCAATACCAAATTATTTATATATAGTAGTAATTTTACACAATGTGGATAAAATTAATTTCATCCACTTCATAAAAATGCTAAAGAATTGTCCATATAGTGTAGTAAAAAGTCATTTTCACTAAATGGATGCGACATATATATTTTACCATATAGTTTTAAGTCTAGAGGTCAAAATACTGAAATTTGAACGTTAGAACGTTGATTTTTATGATGTATATTACTACTTATTTTTAATGACTATATAATGAATATTTGCTGGCCTTTAACTTAAAATATAAGCAATATTTCCATAAAGATATAACGAATTATTTTGTATCCAAGACATTATAATGATAATAATTGATAATGTGTATACCTCTAGCAATTACTAATATTATTGCTATTAAACCTGTTGAATTCAGAATATTCAGATTTTATTTTAAAATGTTGAACATACCATTCGTACTTCGTTGTATTTTTATTTTTGAATAAATGTAAATTTAAATGTAGTAAATGTAGTAAATTAGTAAATATAATCTTCATAACACTCATAAATCAATATCCAGGTTAATCAGCTAATGGATAGCTTCGCCTGATATCACATGTAGGTAGCTTTTAAAGTATGCGGTTAAATGTAAAATTGCTGAAAATTAAAAATGCCCAAACAATTTGATTTATCACCGTATGTTTTAAAAATTAAAATTTTTCTAAGACATAATAAATTATTTAGTCCTATACACTGAAAAACTGAGACGGTTGAAGTTAAAGATATTTACTTAAGAAAAATATTTTCTATCAACAATAATTTTTTTATTCGTATTCAAATTTTTAGGTGAGTAGTTGTTCTCTACAATTTAACATTAAAATGAATATGAGTATACCTAATCTTAATAAAAATGGGAAAGTGGTTACTATCGTGGTGTATTCTCAATTCTGTATAGTAAATAGGTATCTATAGAGTGAGTTGCTGTAACGTTAATGAGTGTTATATTCCAATTCAATAATATACCATTGTAATTTTCAGATAATGTTAATCTTTATAATATGTTGATCAATGGTGTTAATATTTAGTGATTTTATTAAGATTGATCTTTTTCATACAATTAAACTTATAATCAAATTTTTTATGTGCCGACATTGTCTTAAGTAAGTTGAAATCAACTAAAGTAATCCGTGGCGGGGGTATAGCTCAGTGGTAGAGCATTCGACTGCAGATCGAGAGGTCCCCGGTTCAAACCCGGGTGCCCCCTTAATTTTTTTTGCATATTTGTAGAATTCTTTTACATTTTATGTTTACATTGAACTAAATTGTTGTTATTTACAATATAAGAAATATAAAATATTATTATATGAACTGTTTATGTTATATTATTTAGTAGGTAAGTATAATATTAGCGTATGTAACTGACTTCAAAATTTATCAATCCAATCTTAGGTAAATAATGTAATAAATGTAAAGGATTTTTTTTTTAATAATTATTTCTCAAGAATTAATGTAGAAATAAATGGTTTTTTGAAAGAACAATTTGAACTTTGCCTTTTTAAGTATATATTCATAAATATTCAATCTGCATTGAATGTAGTAAAAAAATATTCTTTTCGTGTATACAATATGCAGTATAAAAGCCTGAAATACGCATAAATAATATTCAAATATGCATTAAAATGAAAAGTAGAAAAAAAATACTTTTGAAATCTTATTAAATTTTTAAGGTTATTATACACATTACTTACCATAAAAAGGATATCATCATAAAATGCTCCGCTTAAAATCATTATTGACCAATTATTTAAAGCCTAGAGTCGAGAACAAAGTACATAGTGAATTCAATTTTTAAAAATAAATTATTCATATCATTCACTATTTAAATTGTTTTTAATTTCAATTTCTTCTGCTTCGAAAAAAGCTAAATCAGTACCATTAGTATTATATTGAAAATTAATAAGTTTAATTTAATATATTTAACGCATGACGATACTTGTTCAATTCCTGAAATGTTAATAGTTTCGTCCGTAAGAGTTGAAAAACATTTCGTTGCGATCACTTTAAAAACCACTTTATTTAATTAAACTTTATTATAAGCATCAATCATATAATTTTGGTTTTTTGTGATCAATATATTTAATTTTCTAATACCTTTTAAATACATATGTATTTTAATATCACTCTTAGCACGGTAATATAAAATTTATTTGAAATTGCTCTCATTGTTTTAAGAGTCTGTTTCAATCTCTTCACTTTTCAAGATCACGGTGTCTCCTTAGTACAATTTCCTGTAGTTATCGAAAGTTTAGAGTTAAATATGAATATGCATTAGTTAATAAAATATATGAATAAAAATAATTTATAATTTGAAATCGTCAAAGGTGAATCTAAACAATAAGCTTTTATTGGAACTGGAAAGTCTATAAATTAAATATAATATTATTATAGGTAAGTATTAAATATTTTAAATTCAATGTCAATTAATATAATAAGTTTAAAAAAACTGGAAAGTTTCAATAGGGATAGAATTATATGTGAATTAGGTATATAAATATTATAAATTTAATACAACTTGCACTTACAGTTATTATTATATTGCACTTAACTACTAAATTTTTAATTTGTAAAAAAAGTTTTAAATAAGTGTTTATATTCGTAACGAATATTTTATATTTACTTATAAAAACTTAAAAAAACAAATAATAAAATAAAAAATATTGGCTTTGGAAATGAAGCGTAATCACTTGACTTCCTAATTATATTACTATAGCCCATAACCATAGTATGTTGTGATTTTAATTTTGAAAGCAACATTATGTATTCGAATTATAAATGTCGTAGGCCATATGGATAATTAGTTTTTTTGCGAAAAGACTAGGCTCTTTGCATTGGGGTAGCCCGTTTGTTAACTAATTATTATTTTTCAAAACCGCCTGCTCTTTTTCAGGCTTATTGTATACAGACTAACAGTAGTGTTAAGCCTTTTAAGAATTGCAATCATTTTATGGTGATAACCATTTGACTATTGTATTACTAGTTTTATTTTATATAACTAAGCATATATAACACTAAAACTGAACTATTGTATAATTGTATAATGTATTATAGGTACATTATTTTCTTTTTACCTACAACTTTGCCAATATTATATTTTGAGCGTCTAATAGTCGACGATCTATTTTTGGAATATTTACTGCAGAAAAAATGATACAGAAATAGCGATAAGAAATTAGTTTATAACTAATATTGAAGTTGGCAGCTATATTTTGTCAATATTCCAATGGTAAATTGTGAACTATTAGACATTCAAAATATAATATTGGCTAAGTTGTAGAAAAAAAGAAAATAATGTACCTATATACAATAATATAACAGTTCAGTTTACATGTTATATATTATGATTAGTAATATAAAATAAAACTAGCAATACAATAGTCAAATGGTTATTATCATAAAATGATTGTAATTTTAAAAGGCCTAACTGCTGTTAGCCTGTATGCAATGAGCCTGAAAAGCAGCAGGCTGTTTGAAAAAATAATTAGTAGTTTGCAAACGGGCTACTCCAATGCAAAGAGCCTAATTTTTTCGCAAAAAAACTAATTATCCATATGGCTTAAGACATGTACATAATTTTGAGCAAATAAGCTAAATTTTTTTTTTTGGGGGGTTTATTGGGCCTTTAAGACCATCCCGTCTCACAACCAAGCGTCCATCCTTCTCTATCCAATGCCAGATCTCTCCAATTAGAAGTACCACCTAAAAGTTCAACGTCCTTCTTTATATTATCTTTCCATCGCATTCTTGGTCTTCCCATTGATCTTTTACCTACAGGATTTTGTTCAATTACTAAAATAAGCTAAATATCATTGTTTTTATGCTTGAAATAATGATAGTATTCAACTTTAAATTGGAATTACTCAAATAGGGAATGTTTTTAATCGTTCTAATTTAGTTAAAAAATGTCGAGAATGAAATGAAAAAAAAAATGTGCATTTAATAACTAAATCATTACGATGAAAAATAATGAAGTAAAATGTAAATATATAATGCGTTAATTATGATAGATATGCTAATAGAAGTGAAATACTTATATTTATTTTATTATTACATCATAGTTTATTTAAAATTTAATGACAGATGAAAGAAATATAACATATCAGTCAGGCAAGTTTCTTTTTATAATACTTATGTATGATGATATTATTCGGAGATAATAACTAACTTTTTTAAATACTCAAGTGACTATCTTAAAAAATTTACTTGGGCTACTCACTTTAAATTTAAAAGAAAATCGTTAAATCTCATGCAGGCATTTTTCACAAATTAAGGCAGACTACTCTTCGTTCTCTAAAAAGTAAAATCTTAATTCACGAGTATAAACAATTTGTTTGACCTTCAATCATCAATGGTATTCAACTTTAGAGGTCTACTAAGGTATCTAATATAAAATTATTCTAGTCAATCTAATATATTATAAACCTTCAATTGATATTAAATGCTTTATGGAACGATAGTAACCGCGCGTTATATCACAACGGTAACATTACGCTGTACTTGCATTCAATTATTATTCGAAATTTCATAAAAATAGCTTCAATCACTTAAATTTTCTCATTTCAAATCTTGTTTTCAATATATTAGTCTTATCTATATCATGTCACAACTTTCATAATCCGATATTCCATCAATTTCCCTGTTATGTTGTATAACGCATTTGCTTATTGTTTATAATTTATGGATATAGATTGTATATATTTCTATTTTATGGAAATTTTAATAGAATTATTTTCACATTGTTAATCTGATACATATTGTTCAGCCTTCAACAACAGAAGTTAGGTACTGGTTTTACTCAGAAGATTAAATTACACTGAAATAAAATAAAATATTTATAGTGATACTGACATACTGTACAAAGTCTTTTTTTATAATAATTTATTGAACAAATTTTAAATGTTTAACTTAAATGTAATATGTATTCTCTTTCGGCAAAACTCCAGAATATTAAGTCTCATTTTAATTAATTGGATTGCGCATCAAATAAAAGCAAAACGAAATAATTTGTGACTTAAAAATATATTGTGTATGTACAGTAAAACCTCTGAATAGCGGACACTCACGGGACCGACCAAATTGTCTGCTATTGAGAGGTGTCCGCTAATTAGAGGTGTTCGTTAAGAGAGGTTTCACTGTAGTAATATTATTATTATCATTTTTTTTTTATTCTTCTTGAAAACTGTTTGTAGCATAATTAACAAAATGGTTCTTTTAATTTATTGGACTACTAGAATAATATAAATTTCAACTATTATTATAATTCTATGAAAAATGTTGTCTATAATTTATATAAGTACTTACGGTTAGTTTGAAATATTTATTATAATAAGGTATAAGGTGATTATTTAATCGAAAAACACTCCTTATTTCAAAATATTTTTTTATATAGTTTATATTTAAATTAAAATAATATTTAAAAATTATATGTATATTTTTTAAAATTTTTACTTTTTTGAATGAAAACATACATTTAAAATTTATTATGGCTCAGGCTTTTTATCGATACTTACATACTTGTTAAAAATCATTTATTAAATAGTAACTCAATTAATTAAAATAAATATATGATATTATATATTATGGAGCTTATAATTTTATACTTTTCTAAACTTAATTTTCTATTTTGTTTGACACGGATTTATAATAATTGTCTATAGCTATAGAGACTATAGCACTATATAGGTAGCTTAAAAATGTATTACTTTTATTATTAATTTTAAAATATATTCTTTTAACTGTTTGTAATATTTCCTAGCCATATTATTTTAAATATTGTAAATGATAATACAATAAGTATGAAAAATACATTTGAAATGGTTAATTTTAATCGGGAACCAACTATCAGAACGTATAAAGATTTAGTTCTCAATTTAGACCGTTTTTTTGTAGTTATTTTTGGAATGCAACTAGTAATAGTAGCTGTAGGTATTTATAAGAAATAAGTGATACATTTGTAAGATATAATTTTACTTGTAAAAAGATTTAAATTTTAATTCTACGCATACATATCAAAATTGCTTTATGTTACTATTCAGTTATATTATACATTACTATTAATTGCTATTTGTTATTATATTTTGAGTACTCGAAAATAGTTTTTATTCTATATAACTACAGGAAAAGCGTAAGATTTTTATATCAATTTATGGTTATTTTACAATTTTTTTTCATTTTATCGCAATTTGTTTTCGTAAATTCTTCATCTCTAGTATTAATCATTTAAAATAGAACACATTTTTTCGTTGTAAATATATTATCTTTTTTTAATAAATTATTTTAATTATTAGGTTTTTAATTATAATTATATTATTTTGAATATATTTTATCAATAGTATTTTTTTTCTCGGACAACCGACAGTGAAGGAGGATCTGTGTGAATATTAAAACTCCTCTGCTGCTATCGTCTAAATAGATGATTCAATACATAATACAGAGGTGGCCAAACTGTGGTTCCCGTCATAGACTCATATGGCTCGCATCTTATCGTAAGATACAAACATTATTACAAAAAAAACTGTTTTCAATATGAATTTATGAATTTATATATTTGAAGAAGTATAATATTTTATTAAATTTAAATTTTTAAAAAAATGTACAAAAAATAAAATAGTGTTTTTGATTTAATATTTAAATATGTATTAATTTTTATTTTTAATTATTAATTAATATCATATACTCGTATGGTTTCACATTTCATACATTTCATTATATCTGATATTTAATTATCTTCTTTACGATAATCATATACATACAACTTACATTAATATGAACTTTTTTTTCATTTTGGCTTTTCTATATTTATTAATATATTGGGTGGCTCGCAAGTCTCTTATTAATGACTACCCCTGATATAATACATAAAATAGTACATAATAACTTAAATACAATTATCTAGCTTCGTACACTAGATTTATTCGTATTGTACCTCTTCCCGGCCTGGTGACGCACGCAACTGTCAGTCTGTATGCACGTTTTCCAGTCCCCACCAGGGAAGTGCTTAGTCCATCGCGTCGGTGTAATTCTTACTTCTACTACAGTAGTCTTTATGTCCTCCTTTTTGCAAACCAATATACTTTTGACTATGTTATAAAAAGACTGAGTGGCACGTTGGGCGGTAACTAAAAGTCTACCTCGGTCATTATCGCAAACAGGGATATCGGTTAGACCATACATAAAATCCTGAACATCCCTCGGGGTGACGTTTCTGTTTCCGATGAACGCCTTAACTGTCATCCGGAGAGGATCCCAGTGCGTATAATCGAATATTGTGTGTTTCGCAGTATCTGTCAATAGTATTTACATTTATTTTCTTTAAGTGTTTTAGTAAAAAGTAAAGAAGATAGTAAATATGATATATCTACAGGTTAGTTAGCTATTAATCATACTATATGTAATATTAATATATTACAAAGGTTTCTTAGAACAATTGTTCCGAATAACATAAAAAGGTTTTTACTTAGTTCTTTTTTTCTTCTGGATTCATTAAAATTCTATCACTATATATTAATAATTATTTTTTTAGTGACCAAAATACACAATATATACATTTGGTTAGATAGTGCTGATGAGTAGTTATTATTATTCGAAGTTCATGAGATACATTACAGGCATCATCAAAATAATCATGATTTTCTAGAGTGTTTATTTGTTCATGCTTGTTTAATGATTATTATTTGAACAAATGGTTATGGACTACTATTCTGAGCATTTGTTATGTTCTTACTCTATTATACGATAAATTTATAAACTATAGTATGGTGTTATGTTTTATGTAATAGTGAATTCGATTTTTAAAGTTTCAATTTGTAAAAAAATACTTTAAAAATTTTTTATTTGAAATCTTTACCTAAAGTTTAGATTATTATCTTTGTAATTATCATTAACTTTATTAAAATTCTTTATGATTTAAAAATTGTTGATTACATACGTAACCCTTACATTCATAATCAATTAAATAATGTGTATAACTATGTGTGAAATACATAATTACTTAATTTAAATATTGGTATTTGAACATTATGAATGATAGTTATTGCATATTTAATCAGCACACACACATATATATATATATATATATAAATTTTACTAGGTTTATGAGATGTTATTGAATATTACACGATTCTCTGATTGATAAAGATCACAAGTTTCAATAGATTAAAAATATTTCTTATATTTTTAAATTGTTATTTAATTAATTATTTTCCAATATATTAAACACCTTCTAAATTAAATTTTTTTAAATTATGAAAATATTGTGTTCAAAAATGTCTGCAGCAGTAAGTTTAGTTTTAAAAGCTGTGCACTTGTGTACAATTAATTGTTTGCGTATTATGAACAACTATACTAGCTCACAATTGTTTCGAAGAAAAATACTTAATATTATTATTTCTGGATTTTACATTTTTTGTTAGTCGTTTATTAGAACATTAGATGATAGTATAATTTTTAGAGGAACTGAAATTTAAAAAATGTATATGGTTTTTTCATCAAGTAATGTAACGATTATTTTTATGACTGTAATCGTTATTTTCTGCAGTGATTATTCGAATGGATCAAGTATATTTTCATTAAATTAAATTTAATTATTTCTAATTTTTTAGTAATAAATACAACAATAATAAAAGATTATTTTCCTTAATTTATCGATAAAAACCATAATTATATTAAGCTTTATTTTACATAAATATACATAGGAAAAGTTTTTTGTACATAAAAAGTAATGTAGGTTCAAATATTAGATATACAAAATACCATCAACTTAAATATTACTATTATTAAAAAAGAATATATATATATATTTTGAAGAACAAAAACATGAAGTACTTATCGATTAAGTACTATGCTAGGATATTTTATAAGTTGTTGAATGTTGAAAAAAAAAACAAGTGTCAAAATAAATACAAATTAAACTATGTTGTTACTAAACTTCTTAAAATAAAAATTTTGGATGCATATATTTTTTTAAAATTAAATATGGATTTTTTTAAAAAAAAGTTGATTAAATATATCGTTTATTCACTAAATACAATATATTTTTTACGTTTTAGGTTGTACAGGTAAGATTACAGTTATATGTAAAATACGCATCTATTTAATTAACATTATTAACAATAATATATTATCAATAAACATTGGAACATTTCACATATATTGTTTGACAATGATAAATAATTTTAATGTTATGATTAAAATATCTTAACAGATGAGCTGGTAACTTTAGAATTCAATATAAGTATGTGTATAGTTACTATTGAAAGAATGCTTTAGAAAGTGTTTGATATTATAATAAATAACAAAAATAATCTATTATGTAGTAATTACGCTAATAATTTATATTAGTAAATTATTTTATGAATGAAATTTTTTTTGAATAAGCGAATTAATTTCTATTAAATTGTCTAATAATTGATGATATTAAATGATTATTTTTATAACATTAATATTGAATTTATTTGTTTTTTTTTTTAAGAATTATCTGGATTTGAAAATTTATCCAAAATCAATGATAAATTGAGTATGTTTTTTTAAATAAATCGTTTAATCAATTAACGTATGTACTTTTTTTAAATACACTTATGGTATATACCATATGACATTCAGCTTTGTTGACTAGACAAACCTTCAAACTTAATAAATATCCAATTATTTCAATTCAATAACCTGTAAAGCACTTTTTTCTAAGTTTCAAATAATGCACTCTATTTCAACAGTTCATAACATTGTCCAAATCTTATACAACATTTTTCACTTCAAACTATCCAAACACCGCAATCTTCTGATATTCTATTTTTACAATCATATAGTATCTTAGAGTACCCCAACGAACGTTTAAAAATAGTTATGAGTATTAATCGTATGTTTTAATACATACTATAAATATTTCAAATATAGGTACTAACTTATGAGTTGTTTAAAAATATATTAAAACATTGTAAAAACCAACGGACAAACACAGTTACTGTTTTACCTGAAAAATTTAACTTTTTTTATTCATTTTAATTTGTATTAAAGCTAACAATACACAATTGGTTCTTTTAAACTACTATTTGTTATGTGGAACGTCTCTAAGATGAAAATAACACATGTAAGTCTTGATTATTAACATGAATTTATTTTTAAATTTGTTTAGGTATAATTCCGCAATATCATTATAAAAATGGTTTGGAAAAATGTAAGATAACTTGTGAATATATTATTAAATAGATTTTAAAATTTTTACATGGTGTCGAAAGAAATTAATTTTTTTTGTTATATCCAATTACTAAAAACTGTAAATAAAAGGTATATCTCCTTACAATGGATAATGTGATATAGTCATGTATAGATATATAGTATTGAACATATTATAATAAAATAAATTACCGATAATTCAAATTTATTCTATAAAATATATAATAATATAATGTGTGACTGGCACAAATATAAAACAATCTAATGATATTACGTAATACTATACAATACTATAATATTCAAAACGTTAAATTTTTTCTAAAATAAAAACTTGAATTATAATTTTTTTTTTCAAGACTAAAGTATATTATTTTAAGTTGACACCAAGTGACATTTTAGTCCCAAAGTTTATTAAAAATAGTATTAATCTTATGACTTTTCATAGAAATGAGTAACATATTCTTACATAAATACAGTATTGCAATTTATACGTAAACACACGACTCTTAAAATGTTATTGTGGTTGAATCGATCTAATTATATTTAGCTCTCACAACTTTTTTCACTATTAAGTATAAATGTAGTTGGGTATTTTTTTTCATACATTTCTAATCTATCACATTCTTTCAAATCCGATTTGGTTAGAAATTTTCTTCTTATAAATTATAAATTTTCGTTTGATTTTAAGCTTCACGTACATGAAAATCCATTAAATTGCTGATTTATTATTGAATTACTTTAGATTAATCGAATACAACAGAATTTTTAATCTAACCCAAACTTGTTTTATAAGGTTAAACCTTTTTGTAGAGATTTCATTGATTTTAAAAACATAATGAAGTAATAAACAATGTGTGCCTAAATATAGTATATAATGCAATATAATAATGAACAATAATTTAAATACATTTATTTTAGACAAAAAATTTGCTCAATCGAGCATTAGTAAGTTATTTTATTTTTCATTTATCTTTAATCTTTATATTGGCTTTTATGATTAAGTAGTGTGTTTTTAACATGATTAGCATATCGTTGTTTTTAGATGATTATTTTTTAAACAAATTTCAATTGAATAGTAAGTTATTATTATTTTGTTTATAGTTTTTTTTTTTAATGTTAGAATTTATAAGCAATCATATGTTTCTTTATCGATATAGTAAGCATAGGCTTTTACAAAACAAACATTTGTAATTTATTTATTTGTAGTTAATAAATTATGTAATTTATTGTAATTGAAAGTTTTCACTAAAAGATTAAGTTCATTAATTTCAGGATATAAGTACGGAATGAGTTATATTTCTGAACTATTGGAGCATGTTCTAAATCCAGGTATGAATTTTCGATACGATACAATACAAACACATAATATTTTAACTAAGAAAAAATAAGATAATGGTTTTTATGGCCAATATGTATATGCATGTCTAATTGAGTAAAATATATTAACAAATTGTTTAATTCGTTTTGTTTGTATCATATAATTTCACGTATACTTGTTTATTGAATGATGAATATGGTTACTATAAATAAATTAGCTGTATATGTATAATATTGACAAATTATGGTATTGGTATATTTAAGAGTTTCTGTATAAAAGTACACATATTTGATATTATGTACAATGTAATTTAACATAACACCAGTACACCATACTCATGATTGTATGCCATTCTGTTAGATTAACAAACGTTTATCTTATGTTAGCTAAAAGCAGTTCGGTGATAGTATTATAAAGTATAATATTATTATTGTTAAAAATGTATATCTATAATAATTTGCAATGGTTATTATTGATCACTATTAATAACGAACAAAAGAAAATATTGTATATTTGAAAAAATAATAATATTTTAGAATAAAGATATTTAAGTTTTTTTATAAATATATAAAAACGGTGTGATACGACGTAGCGTAATTATGAATTTTTTTACAAAATTGTTGCTAACAGAAAACATGGAAAATTTTTTTTTGTTTTTTTAGAACGTATGTTATCAGTTACAACTTGGTGTACAATCCATGGTAAAAGTTTTATCGTTTATTTAGTACATATTGTATTAATTATATTGTATACATCTATTTATCTTAAAACATTACAGAGAATGCCATTAGGTTGTTTTTAAACTTAAAAAATAAAAAAAATCATACGAGGTTTATCAAAAATAAATAATAAGTTCAAAAGTGTTTTATTTTTTATTTTAATCAATTAATAATTAGCGAGTGACTTTTTTCATTAAAGTTGTTCTAGTTTTAAATTGATTTAAGTAGGTACATAATATGAACATATACCTAGTTATTATTTAGATAATTTATTTAATAAGAAAAACTTAAAAAATATTTAAATATTTGTTAGGTATCGTAAATTTTATAACCAATATTCAATACACATTTACGAAAACAAATTTATAGGTTTATAAATTTTAAATAAAATATTTTGTAATTCATTTTGCATTTTAAATACCTATAGACCAAGTTCCTAAACTTATATTGGTATAAGAATAAGAATAAAATATAAAATATAACTATTATTAACTCAAGCAAAGTGAATATTTTGGATAAAGCAATAACAGTTGTTGTAATTTGTATGTGAATTTTATTACACGCTATACCTATTACTAAAAATTTTCCATTGATATAGTTTTATAATAATCAATAAAATTACAAAAATAAATAAATAGCAATTTAAACTAGACATTATAAAATTAAATAAAATTACATTTTATTGAAAATAAACTATTTAAAAGATGAATATTATAATAAAACTTTTATTTTCTTTCTAGAAAATTATGAACGTGATTTGAAAGAATTTTTAGAAAATGAATCTTATGTAGAATGTACTTAAGTTTTGTATAAATAATTATTTTTAATTATATTTTTAAGATATTAAAATGTTAAATACTTGATAGAGGTACATTATTTGTTAATGCAATATTAGTCAATATAATCTCATGCACCAATAATCATTGCTGACATCGGCATAATTGTGGAGGGTACTTGCCTCTTCTGAAAATTTGGTGTCATTTCCCCTCGAGATAATCTAACAGTACAAATATTTGAATTATCATAAGTTAAGAAAGAATGTAATGTATCATTTGACATATTATTATAAGATTGAAATATTTTTTCCTCAAGTTATTTCATAAAAGTTAATATTTATTTTAGGTTTTTCTTGTTGTATAATAATATGTTATCGTAATTTGCAATAATCGTATTATTTGGGTTAGGAACAAAAAATAATTCAGTAATAATATAATCATTATATGAAGTATGAACACGATTTAATATTATTGTCTTGAAGTCGTGGTTATGACTGCAGGAACGGGAGGTTATTTTTAGATCAATAACAAATTACAATAATAACAACTGTTAGTATAATTATTATTTTGTTTTCTATATCTACATACCTATTATATTACTAAATTATATTGTGATGAGATAGTGTACTTTATTGAAAGTCTATAGACTATGATGTTCTATTATTCTATACTATAGGTACTTACTTATTTTTATGCTATAAGTTATTAATAATTATTAATTATATATTAAAAAATAATGTTTAATAAACGGCAGTTGACATTGTTTAATTGAACAATAATCGATTTTGATAAAATAATTGATAAATTTATTTTCAAATTAAGTAGGAAGTAATAGAAAATTAACATTAAAATAATATTTTTTTATTTATTTACTAAGTTTTGTTTGAATAAAGTCATTAAATTAGTCGTTGGTTATTATTAATTGTTTAGCAAATATAAAATATGTGTAAATAATGTTTATACTAGTTACTTTTTTAAACTACATATAGCACCTTTTATTAATGAACTCTTATAGGTACTTAATATTATTTAATGATATTGCTACCTATGATTTGTTTTTATCTAAACCATATAATGAGTTTTAAGACTTGTGTAAAATTAACCAATTAGGTATACTGTGTATAATATATACAATAAAAATATAATTAAACCCCCGCTCAGGGTCTTATCATGATAAATAAATTATTTTTCCCCTTAGATTTTTTCCCAGTTACGCCACTGATTTCTGACAATATTTTAAATCACAACATGAGTATTATATCACGATTAACGATGAAAACATAAGCATTTTTTTTTAAATAGCTGCATTTTGCGATTTAATTGATTTATTTTAATACTTCCGTAAAATGCAGCTAAAATTGATCACGTTTTTTTATATTCTTGGTAAATGAGTGAAATTCAAATAAATAATGTACCGATCTAAATTGTAAATAATATTCCATTGTTTTTTATATATCATTAATGCTTTTGTTGATTATTTTTAGATAATCAAGATATTTATAATACACAATATGCAAAACGTATAGCACGTAATACAGGTCAATACATAATGTAATAATTTTTTTTTTTAAATTTTAATGAATAATTGATGATTGTATGAAATTCAATTTCTATGAAATTTAACTGATGATAAGTATAAAATTCTTTATTGGTCGTTGAAATCCTTCACGAAATATTTGTCAATTATAATGAATTATGATTAAAATTTTTTTTTTTTAGTTTTTTTAAGTCTTTGGTAGTGTTATGTATCAGATAGTTGTAATATATATATGCACAGTGCACACATATATATTTATATATAATATGTATTGTACATTTATAAACAGCATAATATCTGAGGAAAATAATCATTTTAAACAAATATCTATTCATTTTCTTTTGGTATTGCTAGTATATTGTGGACACTGCCGATCCATATTGTTTATGATTATGATAATTAATCTATAATTTAAATAATAAAATAGTGCAATATAGATAATCATCTTATTTTATACTAGAGGAAGTAGTATTTATTAAATATACTTATCTTATTTCATTGTAAAAATATTAGTATCTATAATTGAATAGTTATTTAAAAAAGTTTACTATGAAATAACAACTTTTATTTTTCTAGGTTTACCGAGAAGTGATCAGATAGTTGTTTTTAAAACTATTAATGGTAAAAAATTATATTTTGTTATTATTTGTTGCATATTTTAATATGATCAGATTAGTTTTTAATAGCTTTAATAGCAATATCAATAAACATATGAAAAGTACTTAGTGACATAGATTGATAGTTAGACTATCTATGCTCTGAATTGTTTTTCGTTTATAAATATGTAATGATATATAATCAATTTCAAATTTAACAAATTGATCACAGGAAGTTAGTGACCCACTTGATACCTACTACACAGCAAATTGATACCCACTCGTCTATCTTTTTTTATGTTTGGATGTTTTAGTAATGTTTATTTGAACATTTACCATAATATATTATTGAATTTAATAAAGATTAAATTGATATAATCTTATTTTTATTGTTATAAAAACTATGAATTTACCTCTTCCACGATGTATGCTAATGCATAACCTTTTTATAACATAATATTTTTTATTAGTTATATATATTTAAAATTCAAAGTAAAATTGTAGGATTATTTAGATACTTCATGAGATGAAAAATTTAAAGTTATAAGTTTATCATAGTTTTTTTTTTTTTTTTAATGCATTATATTTTTGTGCGCAGCATTTTTTTTAGTGTTAAAAAATTTTTTATCTACACTAAAATTTTGTAAATTTTAAAATAATAGAAAGAATATAAACAAAAAATTTAACATTTGAGCGTGAAAATATACTCAATAACAGCAACCAATTTGATTTTTAATTTATCTTTTGTTTTGTTTTGTTATATAATGCTAAAATTTATTTTTTCTTTAGAGTAATCCATTTACTTTAAATAATAATATTGATAAAAGATAGTTAATATTCCGATTAGCTTACATTTCTTAAATTAATTTGGCATGATAAATAAGCTTGTATGAGATTTTAATTTTCAAGGTAATCAAGAAGACGAGTTTAATATGTCATGTTAATTAAGTTTTTTGGATAAGATGACTTTTGTTCAATTGTTATTAAAAATAAGGTCTATATCGACATTATGAAGGGTTTCCAATATTTGAGTTAAATTATCATTTTATTTTTTTTTAGTAAAATCATAAATATGTATAATAACTAATGTTTTATAACTTAGTTTTTATTTATATTTTTTTTACAATTTAGTTTGTTATAAGGGTAAGTTTTTAGATTATATAATATTAAGCATTATATCTTAAAAAATATGTATAGAATTTAGATGATATAATCGTTTATTATTTATTTAAAATAACTGCTGACGACGTCATCGATTATTACCTAATAATTAGTTTAATCGAGAACAATAAAAAGTAAAACTATTTACATAAGTTATAATATTACACAGCTATTATACGATTTATCATTATTTTCTTAATTAGGGATACGGATTAGTAGTTAGTAGTGGTCAAGATAATTTTATTGATTAGATGGAGCTTTTAATGAATTTTTACTAATGGACATGATAAATTTGTTGTCAACATAATTCACTATAAAAGTTTACTGCGTAGTGGGGTAGTCAGTAGTGAAAGATAGGGGGATAAAATACTACCTTATGGAACACCAGCATAATTTTTGAAATTTCTGAAGTAGAAGAGATGATGTATGAATTGAACTTGAAGGTGACAGTTATTCGGGTACGATTTTATAAAGAAAAATAGAGGAGAGAAAAGGAATCGTATAAATTTAAAAAGTAATCTTTCATGCCAAACTTGGTTAAAGACTTGAAAGATAACTAGAAAGATACAGGAGTAGTTAAGATTTTTTTAAGTAACATAAAAATAGCATCGACGATTTTATGAGCTTGGAGTATTGCATTATGAGTATGAGAGGTCTAGAAATTAAAATCGAATATTTGAGAGCATATTATTAGTGAAGATTAGGAATTCCAATGTATTTTGAAACACCTATGACAATTTTATTTTGAGTCAATACATCTACCCACATACTTACAAACATATTTTTCTTTAAAACAATATAAAGCAGCAATTCCTTAATTGTGCATAACAAGGACATTCGAGACATTTGAAAAAGCAGGGGAGTCACTACATAAATATAACATTTAAAGATTTAATATTTTAATAATACCTTAACATATCATCTCCTTAATCAAGTCTTACATGTTGCGTAAATATATGTATATGCATAACTTTTAATCACCCATGGGCCACAACCACTAAATTGACGCCAAAATTGATGATATAATTTAATCAATGTATGTTTTATAATAAAATATAAATATAAATTACAGTAGAGTACTAGTGTGTACTGTGTAGTTCGTATTAGACATTGGTATGACTAATGAGTACCTAGTACTTAGCCAGTAGCAACCTGGGTACATTTCAACTTAATATAGTAAAATGTATAGACAGCAAAACTGAGCCAACTTAGGTCCCTATTTTTCTTCACATTATACCCACCTTGTAGATAATTCCGTTTACCGATATGTTATCAGTAAATACCACCTTAAAATTTGTTATTGGAAATTAATTTTGTTTATGTTAGCATTAGTCACACTTCGACATTCCATTTGTGCGACAAATAATAAAATTATAGTGCTATAACTTTGCAACGGAAAATTTTGAAATAATTAAAATTTTCAATGAAAAAAAAATTATTGTATTGCATTAATTAATAGAAATTCGCTTTTCAAACATTTTTGAATGATAATATTCAGAGATGGTCGATTTCAAAACGTTTATGTGAGTGTTATTTCAAAATGAACGAAAATAGTGAAATAGTTTTTAGTGCTTTTTAATACATTGATGGGCATATTTAAAAGTTGCTCTAAATTTTTTTATCAATTATTTATAATTCATGGTGCTAAAAATACTACATATACTTCTTTAGTATTTTTTTTACTAACAGTCAAGATTATATCAATATATAAAGATGCGTTAAATAGTTTATTAGAAAAAATAAACGATTTGAATTTAAATTTTACACCAAATATAATTTATGCAGACTTTGAACAAGTTTAAAGTTCAGTAGTTTTAGATGTTTTTCCTGATGTTATACATAGAGCAGTGTTTCTCAACCGGTGTTGCGTGGCACATAAGTCGCATTCGCCGTCTGTCATCGATGTTGTCATCTAATCCAGTTTTTATTTTCGAGCTGAATCGCACTTGGTCTACACAACAAATAAAATTGTTTTCCTGTGTATTTTGTTATTTATTATTATCACACGGTTTTTGTTGTTGTTTCGTCACTGTTTTTTTTTTTTTTTTTTAATAGGCTCTAGAAATAAGTTGAAAGTAAATTATGAGAAATAAACTAGGTCTTAGATACATTAAAAATGTTATATCACCTCCTAACATATGGCAGGGAGACTAATGCCTTTTTGAATCACCTCTTAAATATAGTCCTTACAAATAGGGTGTACTTACAGATTCAATTGAAATTAGATTGAGTTTTACGTTAGCAATTTATAAGAATTCATTTTGGCATAATAAGTTGCAAAAAACAATAACGATAACAAATTTTAACGGAGTTAATAAAAACATGCGTGTCGTGTTATATTATTATTGAAAACAAAATGCGGGATAAAAAAAACTACTATTGTTAAAATTACAACTATATATATTCGTATAATATTATGATTTGTTAGTATATATTTAAATTTTTATATAAATATTATTTTAGAAATGACAACTAGAGTTCCAGAAGTATTTCAAAGTAAGAATTTCAAATTTAACATTAAAAATGTATGACATATAAGTTTAGGAAAATACTTAAAAAATTTTAGATCTTATAGACTGACAACAGATCAGATTTTTTATGTTCACCAAATTAATCAAAAATCATTAGGTTCTGTGAGCAGACGTTTCAAAAAATGTTTAAAGAAGATTTGATACGCTTAGAGGAAAGAAGACTAATTTATGAAGATGGTTATTTAGAAAATTGGAAAAAAAAACATGATCGTTAAGTAAATTATGAAGATACTACAGAGAGACCGTATAAAAAAAAAGGATGTAATCGTAGTGAATGGTGATACTGAATGTAGAGATGTCAGAGAAAAAATATAGACAATTTACTTAAATGGCTGGTCTTAAAGGCTAAAATCCATAAAAAAAAGAAGAAAATTATATTATTATATTAAGTATTGAACCTTATAGTATAACATAATAAGAATAAATAAATATTAAATTTATACTTAATAGATTATTATTCAAAATAATTCATAAATGTTTTCTCAATATACTTTGTTTTAAATTCCTTAATTTTTATTTTAAGATACTCCTTATCTAAGTAATTTATTTAAATGATTAATTAATTAAATTATTATTATAGGTATATTTATTCAGTTTTAATTGTTTACTACCTACCATAACCATACAATATCGTGGTAAATTGGTCATGGTAATAATCTTCGCCTGTGATTTTGACACATGACAATAAATACTTTTAAAAATAATGTGAAATAAATATTAAATACTATTAAAATAGTTTAGAATAATAGTTATAATAATTCATTAAAATAATGTCAATAATAAAATGATAATAATTATATTTATATAAAATAAATCTAATTTAAATTTGCAACTGAAAATTAATGGTAATTAGTTATCTTTCGTAAATAATTTTGAATTTTAGTAATATACAAGTGTTAGCGATACAATGACAGTAAAATATCATCTCGTCGTTGCATAAAACTCACATGATAGCATAATATAACTACAATTAAACCGTGATGCTAAAAATATTTTCATATATATAAAACTGTTTTAATTAATTTATATTATGATTTCTTAAATTTGGTGAAGATATAACATAAAACTTCCATAATTTAGATAATATAACATAACGCGACCATATTGTGATGTCCGAAATTTTAACGAACCGACAAATTTACTGAGCTCAAATTATCGTTATCAATTTACATTTAATATGGAAGTTCTATAATGGAACTTTGATATACTGTAAATAATATGTTCATTTCTTGATTTACTTTTAATAAGTTGAATACAATTTCAAATTATAGCTTTACATACTTGTCTACTTTTATTGATATCAATAGTATAACATTAGTTTTTTTCGCATACTCCCGTTTCCGCCAAAAAAACTTTGGAAACCAATGGTTTTAATTTTTAAGCAATATATGTTGTGGTAAGTTTAAAATATAGCAATGCAATGTAATATGTAGATAATAGCAATGACATTTGTAAGTAATTGCAAAGATCATAGGTACAACAATAAATAGATACAGCGATAATCTTCGATAATTTTTAATAATCGTCATTCGTCGATAACTGAAAGAAGCATAAACTGTATCATAGTTTACTTATAATTAGCGCACAACTATTATCTGACAAATGTTAAATTATTATATTTCGATTCAGTATCTATTATGTTTATCAAACAGTTGATAACGTTCTTAAAACGGATTTTATTGTAAGCAAACGAGGTAAACAATGTTGATTTTTGATGGTTTTAAATATGTTTTGGGTAATACGCCAAAAACAAAAATAACTCGGTGGAGATGTTTCATGAAAAATTGTACGGCCAATATTTTGGAAAAAGAAAATATAATACTTGAAACGAAAAGGAACATTTGTGTATGGTTCTCAAATAACAATTGGCGGAAACGTCTTTTCATAAAAATAAATTTTGGTGGAAACGGATTTCATATATTTATACAATTTTCATTTTGGCGAAAATAGGCTATGCGTAAATTAGGGGACCAGCTTTTTGGCGGAAATGGGCCATGCCGTGGTCAGGGGTAGCAAAGAGATACCAGCTGTCTTTTGTTACAATTTTTTAATCGTTAATATATTTTTTTAAATAAGATTTGTTCAAATGTAAAATATTACATGCAATTATAACTTAAGATAAATTAAACTAATAAAATATGAATATCAACATAGTTTATAGTTGTATAGTTCAACAGAAATTTTTTTTTCATATTTTGTTTTTTTTTTTAGCATTTAATAGATTATATAATACTTCCAAAAATGGTGAGTTATGTTTAAAAACTATTCGGTTTATCTTAGTAGGAAATGTATATATCATTTTGATATCTAGGAATATTTACCTATAATTAATTTTCATTTAAATTTATACAGTAATAGTAATAGTTTCGAAATAAAAATGAATAATTCGTCTTCGTCGAAAATGTACTTTGAAAAGTCTATTGTTTTAATTAATTAATATAACATCGATTGAAATATAAATAATTATTTAACGACAATAAATTTATTTATTTAGAAATCTCTTCTTCTATTCAACTTTAATTGAATCAAAATATAACTGTATAATTGTTTTAAAAAGTATATCAATAATGTATATCCAATATCTATCTACTATAGATTAGTTTAAATTACAATTCTTAATATATAATTAATTACTTTTTTTGTTTGTAGAAATGAATTTAGATCCGTTAAGTTGGTGCGCAGTTGATGGTAAATAAGTACAATCATACAGAATTAGGTTTAATTTTTTTGTTTTATACTTTTATAGGTACAGTTGAGTTTTGAATCTAGATATTCTGCCATTACGTCAGTCCAGCACCCTCAGAAATCCAATGTATTTTTGTAAAACCCAGCCATAATTTTGTTTTTGGATTATCATTTTAATAACTCAATAATATTGTTGGAATTCAACATAAGTATAATTAAAATAAATATATTTTAATTTTTACTCAATTTCTAACTATACATGATTAGTTTTTTCCGTTTGTGTCGGGATAACAAGATTCAACTGTAAATATAAATAATATTATTTAAACTTAAAATTTGTAATAATATGATAAGTTAAGATATTTTAATTTTAGAAGAACGATACATAAGATTCTGTATAATATGAAAATGATTTAGGTATTATAAATTATTGTAATAGAAAATATTATGTACTTTGGTAACTATATCCAGTGATAACAGTGCTAAGATTGAAAGTTTGTTAATAAGCACAGTTTTTTATTAAATTGTACAGAGTATTGTCGTAACTATGTTCACCTATGCGTTTTTAATTAAATTCAAATTCTGGATGGAATTAGATATTCAAAAAATAATAACAATTTTAATTATATTTTAATGTTAATTATTATAATATTTTGTACACATAATAATATTTTAAAATGTAACATTTTTTTCAAAAATGTATTAAACTTACCATATAATCTACAATATCTATAACATAAACAATATATCATAAAATATACTTGGAACATAAGCTTGTAGACCATCTTTACTCAAAATCGTTTTATGTATGAAAAGATCTATTTCTGAATTAAAATTAAAAATTTACAAAGCAGTGACGTAATCAATAGCCAGATACAATTGACATTAACATTATAGAAGAACGGTTGTTTATATTCAACATTTTTTGATCAGTTTTTAAAAATTATTATTTTTATTTTTAAAAGCTAATATCGATCGAGAAAAAAAATAATAATTATTAGTTATTGAATGAAATTTAAACTGAGTACAATATTATTAGTTACCTATATTTAGTAAAATTTTACTTTTTTTAAATTAAAATATTTATTTGATTTTTGTCTTCTCATTTTAGCTTGTTATGGTAAGAAAATTTGAAATACGTACTATAGTAGCAGTAGGTAGATACCATAGGCATTACATTATTGAACAATCTATTATCAAATAAATTAGGTTAATTAAACTTAATAATTAAGTTATATTTAATCTATTATTTTAGACAATTAAAATTATTCATTTTCATTCTTAACAGACTCATTAATAAAAGCTAATTTTGAAGGTAATTTATTTATTGTACTTTTTGGTAACATTGTATTGTTAATATAATATTATACTATGGTGTAATGTATATTATATTATACCTATCTATTGATTGTGAAACAAACTTAATTTTTGTTTTTTATTTGTTCAAGAGAACAAATATAATTTAAATACAATTTAGTTAAGGTTTATGGTTAAATTTATATGGTATTTAGAACTAAGAAGTGATCAAATTATCTTATGGCATATAACTGTGGTTATAATTATACTTAATAATCGTTATTTTAGATGTATCGGCTAACGAAAATATTAGAAGAATATTTCCTGACAAAAGTATGTATGTATTTGATCAAAAAATATATTATTAAAAGTATACTATTTTTCGATATTGAATTTTCATGTAAAAATTACATGATAGTATGATACGTATTAAATATATATAACCTAATTACGAGTTCATAAATGTAATAAAATGCGGATGTGACGTTTGAAAGATCAATTATTTATCATAACTGGTTTTTATTAATTTATTATTCTCAGTAGTAAACGAAACGCATGGTAAGTTAGTTTATTTTATGTTGGTCATGTTTTGCCGTGGCGATTACTTAATCGTCATACTATAACTTTACTGGCAATATAGACATTAATATATATATAGTGGTATAAATGTGTTATAAATGTTATAATAGTATCTAAATAATTCTAGTTAAATCAAATTAAAGAAGTACACATTTTTAATCGTTTAAAATGTCAAATAAAAATTTCTTACAAAAGTCATAAACCTTTAACATTAAATACAAAAAACGAATTACGTAGATAAAAAATATTATTGTTAATTTATATATTACTCTTCAAATCAAGTATTTTATTTTAAGATAATATTGCATAAACTTTTTTTAACTTAAATTATTAGTTATTAGGGTTATGTATTAAAAGGATCACAATTACATTAGATAAATATGTTATCAAAAATGACCGATCACTGTATAAAGTTAGGCTTTATTAGTAAATGAAACTATTTACTAATTATGATAAGTAAAAGCTGAAAAGCATAATTTTTTCTTGGGCTTGTACTAAAAACATTCTACATACCCTACTGCTTATGGACAAGGATATAAAATTCATGTTAGAAAATGTTGATTAATGCATACTTACTAGAATAATAATATTATATATTTATTTTTGCTATTTTCCTTAGGTGGATATGCGAAACATTTTTATGAATATCTCAAAATCCTCAGTAATAAACAAAGTATGAAATAATAAATTAATTTTAAATTATTTTCATAGTAAATATTGCACTTTGAAACGTTTAACGTATTAATAATGTTGACTTTATTAACTTTAGACTTAACAGACTATAACCTGTTCTTGGAAACTGAAAAATCACTTAAATATTATAATTTAAATTTAATTTTAATTAATAACTATTATGTATGGGTTCTGTAATATTAGTGATCTTACTTTTTTCTAAACATTATTTTAGTCGAGGTTTGTATATATTTACTAATTGGAGTGTTTATATACTTCATTATTATAATCAAGACTATTTTCTACTGCTTTATATTTATTTGTTTATTTATTTTTTGTATTGTTTTTTCATAATTCTATTTGAATGGAGATAAACTCCAACAAATTGACTAATTTTGCATTAAATTATTCAGCAAACTGTCTGAATTGCTCTGGTGTAAATTGTTTACTTCTATCTGACTTAATAATACTTGGAATTTTAAATCTTACAATCATAGGGATTAACTTTACTATGCAATGACTAATATAATTTTTTTTTTTAACAGTGATATTTCTAAAAACTTAAAAAAAAATAGTGAATAACAAATAAAAAATTATTATTATTGATATGACTTATACCTATAATCAATGCTATAACTAATATTTGCAAACTCTCATCTAGAATTTTACTTAGTTCGTTAATTCTTTAGTTTTTGTACGTTGGTATTTAATACACAATTCACAGATTTTCGATATTAGTTTTATGTTTTTATTAATATTTGACCTATTAACTGCTTTTCTACCTCTTGATTTATATTTTTGTGTACAAAAACGGTTAAAATCTATTTCCGCAAAGATAACGATACAACTATTTGATTATCTTTTAATAACAATCTATTGTTAGTTATCAATGAATCTCGAAAATTCCTGTATGCCTTCAAATTCTTTGGTAATTAACTTTAACACGATAAATCTAACATGACAATTTTTTTTTATGTTTCACATCTTTATATCATTATTTTATACTTTTACATATTTCTCTGTTTTTGGTTGACATAGTAAAATATTTCGTTGTACTTTGGATTTACATTTCTGACATACATTATTTGCTTCATGTGGATTTTCAATAAGCGCTCTGAATAATGTGTCAGCTATGTGCATTAGAGCTCTTTTTAAATTTTAAATTAAATGCATACATCTGAAGTCTAAATATTATTCTCTGCAATATTAATGGTGTATCAGCTAACAGATTTTTGAACATGAACTTCATTGAATTATGATCACATTTTATTATTACTTTATATGGATAAACTGATGAAATTGATGAAAGTTGTGACCTACAACCCTAGAATATTGCATATGTTATTTACTGAAATTAAACTGCACCTATTTCATACTATGAAGCATCCATAGAAAACACCATTTTCTAGTTTGGGTTAAAATATTGTGTAGCTAAAGTCTTAAACAAATCTTATTTTAATTTATTTAGATATTTTCTTCATTGTGGTTGCATTGAAAAATGGAATTTTTTTTTAAAGAATGGTTTAGTTTTGTTTAATGTATGAAAAATAAATGTTAATATATAATTATACATCCCAAAAACCTTTCAATATCTTTTCTATATTTTGGTTATGCTATTTCCTAAATATTAACAGGGTTTGGTATACACCGATACTTGAAAATTCGTAAAATATTGAGTTTCTAACTGTTTTTTCACACTTGTCTTTATTTAACTAGGCATTATTTATTTCTAAATTTATGTTTTTCATCATCTTTCCAAAAACATATATGCCATCAAAAGATGTTTGTATTTCCATTAGACTTTTCAATAATAACTGTGAAAAATATTTTTGAGATATTCTAATGGTTACGTTCAGTATAAATAAAAACTTACAAAAAGTATATATTCTTAGGGATGTGTGTTGATAATTGTCAATTTTGCACTATTCTCATTTAATATAATTTGATGAAATCCTTTGTTTTTATACTCTTAATATTTTACCTATTATTTCTTAAATCTTAGGAAATGGAAAATATTTTCTTTTTTAATTTTAATTAAGATTTCGAGGCTCTAAACAAATTTTTGATTCATTTTAAGGCTTTTTAATTATTGCTATGTATTTAATTAAATCAATTGGTGTATTCACTTCTTTTATGACTTTATTATTTTCTAATTAACTTAATAAGGGAATGGAAAATGTATATGGTGCATAGTTCACTAGTTAAGCATTAATTTTTAATTTTTAATTAGAACTACCGACACCTTCAAAAATGTGATCAAAATCTTTTTATTTTCTATTTTAAATTTATTTAATTTACTTGAGAAATACGAGTATCTACTCTAACAAATAATTAAAATTGCACTAATGTATTCAATCTATAAGTTACTCAGAGTTATTATTATCAAATCTATTTCCAAAAGACTCTCTTTACTAAATTTAATTTTCAACAATAAATTATTTTTTCATAATATTTGAATACCTTATACTGAATTATTTATTTGTTATTTTTTGCTCTTCTTCAAAATGGTAGTGAATCAAGATAATGTTGATAAAATTATTAAAACAATTAATAATTATAATATTTTACTATTAGGATTTTGGTATTGTTAAGTCATATAATACATCAATTTTAAGATTATTTAATTAAGTTAGTTTTAATAATTTATAATGAAAAATGAAATATTAATAAAAATAATTGTTAATAAATAAATTAATACGAGTATATGAAAATAAAATATGGTTTAAATAAAATAAGTTTTTCAAGTATGATTTAAAATTATATTAATTTAAAACAATGGTAGATTAGAATTCAAGAACATTATTTTATATTGAGTTAAAATATATGTATTTAAGAATTAAAACTATAAGTGTTAAACAAAGACTGAACCATTATTTTATGACTGTCGATATATATATATATATATTTAACATAATTATTAATATCATAATATTGATTTTAATTTTGATTTTAGTGGACAATATTTATCAAATTGTTTCACCTTATGAAAGTAGTAAGTTATTATTTGGTTTAAAAATTACTAAATTAGTGTATGGGCAATAGGTAGGTAAGTTATATGTAGTAAAATTGTTTACATAATATTAAATATTTATGGTGTATACATTTATTACTTATGAGTTATGACACATGTGTTTCGGATTTATGAAAAATTTGAATTAATAAGGGAAATCTTATCATAATTGCAATTGATATATCTAAATGTTTATACTTGTTACTAGTAGGGTACTTATATTGTATCATGAAGTTTATTTACTTTTTCGAATTAGATATTTCCATTCGATCTGGATATTTAAGAAATTGGTGTGGATATAAAGGTAAATGCATTATTGAATTATTTAGTTAACGTGTGTTTGTCTAAGTTCTGCAACAGTTTAAGTAAATCAAATTATCAATTTTTTATTGTAAAGTTTATTTTTTATTGAGTTCTTGATGAATAAAAACAAATTATCTATTATAAATCAATACTATTGATCGATTTTGTTTTTTATTAAAAAAATCATTAGTGATGATAATTAGATAGAACTATTGTTTGCAGCAGTCTAATAATATATACCTGCGATAAACATCTTACATTAATTTTCCATGTACATACATTGATGATATTAGTTCAGTTTTTAATAATTTCGCGTCCTTAACTTTTATATTTATTAATGCTCATTTTTCAAGAAAAATTTTATATTGTAATTTATTCACGTTTTGATATTAATAGTGAAATGATTACAGTTGTTCATTTTTTGATTTAATTTACAAGGATGAATTTAATTACTGCAATTATTATATATTTTGTAAAGCGAATACAAAACATTTATTTCTATCATACGTAATTGTCGTAATTTAATTATATTTGACTTGGTTAAATTAAAAAAAATATTAATGATTAGACTTGAACTTTGTAAATTATTTTCATAAATTAACTAACATAAAAAATCGTAAAAAATAATTTGATAAAAATTAATTCTGTATTATTTTTTTATATAAATTATATTAATAGTGTATTATAAATGTAAAATATAAATTGATTTCTATAATAGAAATTGTTCGATTTAATTGCAAGCCATAGTTTTAAACTTGAAATAGATTTTATAATTTATTTATTTTTTATTTTTGATAAATATTGCAGTTTGTCACGGTAAGGTTATACGTTATGGATATTATTTGCATAAGTAAATTACATATATTTAGTACTATATTACCATATACATTTTAAAATTTATAGAAGTGATTTAATTTTATAATTCAGTGTAATTTATTTATTTTGTTTTAGTCATTGAAATAGTCTAGATTATTAGATACCCTAGATTTTGTACTATAAAATATCATAAACCACTTAAAGTTCATTGAATAATTTATGATAGTTAACTTATTAAAATTATTGTATTAAGTACATCCACTGATGAGATTTAAAGACTTTAAATCAAGTAGTCATTTATCAGTTATTATAATTTTATTATGTTAACTATATAGAATTGAATAATAGATAGTCTATTGATCATTTATATTTATGTGGTGATTTTAAAAAAATAACAACATTTTTATTTTAATTGATGTTTAGATGATTTAATAGAAGCAGGTTTTATATGTAAGTTTATTTGTATTATATTAATGAAATTGATTTTCCATAGATGAACGCATTAAATTATTTAAGTATACATCTACTTTGTATGGTGATTTTAATTGAAATATGTATTTAATAATATATACATAAACATTTTTGTAAACAATTTACTTAAAATATTATTTAAAATGCATTTAAGTTTTATAAGTTATATAGTAAAAATATCTAATGTTGTATAAATATTTTATCAACTATTCTCTGTAATTCACCATAATTTAAGAGCTGTTATATACTTAGACTATATAATTATAGCTAAATAATTGGCAACAGCTATAGAATATATATTTTATATTACCTAATATAATTTAACAACAATGTTTTCATTGATATTGAATATATATTTTATAGAAAGTAAACATTATTAGCGTATATTAATAAATATAAGCTTATAAAGGACAACAAGAAAAATAAATTGTATGTGATTAGTAGTATTTAATGTATCAAAAAATTATATTTAAAATTCATCATTGATCACTGATAAAGTACCCAAATACAGAATACCATTTAAAATATGTTTGATGTTAAGAAAAGTATTTAAATATTGGTATATATTATATAGGTATTCGAATATTTTACAATACTCTACTAAAGTGATAATTTGTTATAGTAGCTATCTATAATAATTAAAAAAACAATAATTTTTTTAGATGAGCATGCTTCGGATAATTTCAATCATGTCTTACCAACAATAAGTAAGTTATTCAGTACATTTAATAACGTAATGAATCAACTACAATACATTGTTACTACATCTGAAATTCCCAACATCATTTTAATGATAAGTCATAATTTTTGAACGAGTAATACTATACTATATTATATATAGAGAAGAAAATGTTGAACATAAATTCTCTGTATTTTGATATCATTCTAACAAAGATATACGTTTAAATAATAGGTACTATTGCTCTTCAATAAATTCGCATATATAATATAATATCTGTGTTGCGACTGCCACAGGAGTATCAGTCTTCGTGAATATACATATTATAATCACAACATTATTATATTGTTAATTTTTTTATATAACACTTTTTTTAATCACTTTTTTTCTAAAAGTAGTATATGTAAATGCTCTTTATAATAATATTATTATTTCTTATTGTTTTAGTAGAAATATTGATACTTATAAACCTAAACACCATTGTCATAGAAGATTAAAGAATGGAGCAAACCTTAATAGTGCACAAATTAATAAAAACTGTTACGTGAAAAATTTCTTATAGGTCTCATTAAAAGTTCGCACTTCTATAAATTGAAGAAAACAACTTTTAACCATTATTATAACTATTTTTTAACTTGCTATATTCTACTAAAAACTTTTTGGACAGTATCATCAACATTTTAGGTTTTAAGTGAAGTAATGAATGTGTTGGTTTGGTGTTTTTTTTTTTTTTTTATATATATGTATTTACAACACATAGTCGAAAAAGCATCAATTTTCAACTTTAACTGTAATTTTGGATTGAAAATTGGATCTAGTTTGTATTTGGAGAGATTAAAGAGGTCAAAATTTACCATTAAATTAATAATATTTTTAAAAATAAGAGAGTATAACAAATATAAAAATAAGGAAAAATAGGAATTTTGATCAAATTTAATTTTTGACAAAATCAATTTCGTTTTTTTGGTATAACTTAAAAATGAATAACCTAAGATATTTTAAATTGTCACAAAATATTTATATTAACGTTTTATTTAATAGTTTAATTTTCAAAATATTTTGATTTTTTTTTTTTTTAACATTAAAAATTATTTATTGGGTCTAAATTCTTAAAATTTTTATAAGATACATAAGTTGTTTTTAAATTTGTATAAAAATATAGAAAATACATTGGTAGAATTTTTTTTTTTACACAATTTGTCAAAAGAATTACAAATTGCAAGTATTTTGTAGTAAAGAATTTTTATAGCTGGGGTTTGAAATATTAATAAAATATTTCTCCTAAGTAGTTCATAATTTTATTAAAATATGTATATAAAAAACAATCTATTTTCTTTTTTTATGTATATTTGAAGTTCAAACGTTGACGAAATTACCTATTTTTATTATGAATATCGACATTCAATATTTTGTTATAATTCAAAAACATTATTTATTGGGATTTTAATCTTTTAGACATATCATGAATTTAACCAAATACAATATTTTAAAATATTTATATTAATTTTATGATATTATCTATTTATTCTATGGTCCTATTCGTATTGTACAGCAGTGGTATTTACTCAAAAGTTAATAGCTATTTACAATAATGTAATGTGATATAAATATTCAATTTTTAAATAATAAAATAATAATAATATAATAAATGCAATGTCTTCGGAAAAAAAAACTTATTATCTTATTCTTACTAATTATTAGATAAACAATTTTTATTTTAGTTAATTCAAAAACAAATGAAATATACTTAGTAATATAAACTGAAGGATCATTTTCATTTTGAATTGATTTCATTAGATCGTTTAACAATGATAAGATATATTATTGAAATTAAATTTAATATATCGATAATTTAATAATAAATATTGATAAAATATAATATAATTTAATATTATTTAAATTATGAAAAATTACCATTATAAAAATGTCAATACAAATAAAATGTGTATTATATTTCTTAATATTTATGTATAATTTATAAAACAAGTTTTATTTTGTTTATTTATAATTTTTCAGAAATGGATTCTTTTATATCTAGTATGTAATAGGTTACAATGTATTAATATTTGTTGAAACGAACTACTAAAATATGTAGATATTTTATAAAGATATATGTCAAACTCATAGCCAAGCGGAATGTTTTGAGTGTTTAAACTTTAAACTATCCTTCCCTCTCGGGGTTATAAATTCATAATCCAAGTATATATCATACACTAAAAATGTGTCAGGTTAAGTAGGGATGGATTATATTTTTCAAATATTTTGTTTGAAGAATTATTCAAAAGTTAAATATATTATTTAAAATATCTATAGGTATAGTATTTAGATCAAAAAGTTGTTAAATTTCAACAGTTCAAGATGTTCACTTTAGAAATGTAGTTTTTGAAATCTTCATAATCAAATCACATGTGTTTTTCTTCAGATTATTATTACTGTTAGATGCTTATATGTAGAAAATTTATAATATTATTTCAGAATATTTCAACAGATATACGCTATTGAGTAATTGTAGTGGTTTAATACATAAAAATATGAAATACATTTACTGCCTATAAATAATCACAGTACGCAGGTTGGATGTTATTAAAATAGTACTTTTTTATAAGTAAAATAAACTAGAAAAAATAAAATATTTTTTGAAAACCAATAATAAACAAGAGTGTATTTTTTAGATATTGCTTAGATTAGCACTTACTTAAAAATAAGATATTTTATTTATCAATAAAATTGATAAATATAACTATTAATTAAATTTTCTATTTTAGAATTTGTAACTGAATACCGTGAACATTTGATGTTTATTAGGAATACGACCAGTATGTATGAACATGTTATCAAAAATTAAAAATTAATGAAATAGATTAAAAAAATATTTTTTTATATGCACTTTTTAAAATTTTATTTTGATACTAATTATATCTCTATTGTAGGATAAATAATTTACAATCAACACTACATAGTATTTACATTTTTACTTGTTGATTATTACCAACTAAAAATGCAACTTATCACGTTCAGCTAAGAAAATTATAAAATAAATAAATATGAAAAAATTCGTCCAACCGTATCTGATTTGATAGAGTATTTATTAAAATTTTAAAATTATTCTCAAAACTTTCTTGATATCTATAAATCTCTAATTTTATTTTTTTAATTTTTTTGTTTATAAGCTACAAAAATATAGATATTGTCTTTTTTATATGAATATAGAAAATCTCTTTTTTATTCTGTTTCCTTATTTATGGTTCCATAATCCATAATAACTATTTTATTATTCGTAAGTCGTAACTCGTAACTAACAGCTATCCTAAATAAACATGAGAATTTCTAAATTTTCGTGAACCGAAAAATTCATCAGTGAGCCAATAAAATTTATCGATGAACTAAAATGTGTCACATTACCGTTTATAGATATCAACACAAAAACCAATAGAAGCACAAACCTTCGATAGCTTTTGTGATTTCTGATATTACTTCAATCATTATTAAGTATATTATCTAAAGAAAGGAGAGAATACGTATTCATATATTATATGAATAAATATCAGTTATTTATATATATATATTTATTTATTTTTATCTTTTAAAGGCTAAATATATTTTAATTGTGGACAAAATAAGTTCATAAAAATAATGTATCTTATATAATTAAAAATAAGGAACATTTTTAATTTATTACCAATTTAATGTAAAAAAATCATACTATATAGTAAAAAAATTAAATTTTTAAAAACATTATTCTACAATTAATGTATTTAATTGTATTATATAATTACCACGAAATTTAAACTCATGCTGTTATTAATACCATAGATAACGTTATTCAATGTTTCAGATAAATATGTAGGGAATAATTATGAAATAGGAGATGATGCTAAGTATCATAATTTTGCAAGTTAGTTATTGTATATTTGTTTGTTTATTTATTATATATGTTACGGGAAAAGTCGAAAACCGGGAATTGAGCATAATGTTTAATTTTAGTGGTCTAGGTAGGAAAAGTCTACATTGTATATTTTGTCCAGAAATAATTCTCAATGACCAAATAAAGGCGTGGATAAAATAAATTTAATATTAAAATTAATAAAACCTAATTTAGTTATTCAAAGTAATATTTAATTGAAATAAAAAAAAATAAACTAAAAATAGAATTATTAATTATTATATACATATATGACATTATTTATATTCAAAAAACATGGTACCTTTATACATTTAATATTTTTTAAATATAGCTTTAATTACAACTTGTTCTTCGTATTTAATTTTAAAAGTTTTTTACTCGTTACTAAAAATAATTAATAATGTTAAATTTCTCTAAATAGATTGATACTAGGATTAATTTTCCTATCTGAAAATATATTAAGTTAAAAATTTAAACAATTACTCCAAAACAGAGGAAAAATACACATCATTGTAAAATTAATACACTCTTCGCTCCAATCAGAATCTAAAATAAATTATATATACATATATAATTATTATCGTATTATTATTGACACCAGAAAAAATAAATATTAATATTAAAGTATTTTTTTATTTTTTATTTTTATTACAGATCATTCACCAAGGAGCCCACAAGATTTTTGTAAATTTACTGTAATAAATCTAGACAATCCAGAACCAGACACAAAATAAAATAAAAACTGTATTCGTTTACATAAGTATGTTTAATGTATAACGCGATGAATTACCTCCACGAAGAGATTTTTTCACTCTGTTATTTGTTTTTCATTATTTTATATCACTCATCAGTTTACCTTGTTTCTCAGTAACATGAATAGATTGCGTGAATAAAAACTTTATATTAAGATTAAAAAAATGTATAGTGTACTGAATTATAAATAACAGTTCTTAAAATCACATTTAAAATCCATCAGGTATATCGTATAATGTTAATACTGTTTTTATTAAAATTATTTTAACAGTAAGTATACCATAGTATACTTCATAAAGTAATCGATACGATGCGTAGATCAATCGTGATTGCTGATCGATCTATTAAAGTAACTAAACAACGTGGCGTTGGGTTTTCCCGGGCGACGTCGGACGTTTCCGCGCGTCGCCGCGTTATCGATGTGATAGGTTAGACCACGCCTCTAAATACGGTTAAGATTCTACAAGGATCAAAATCTACTGTCTACGGGAAGTAAATGAATTCAAACAAGGATATATAAAGTATGATGGACGTCGAGACGTAGACGACGCGTCATTAGTGATTGGAAACAAAGAAATCACAGTACTAAGACACTATGGATTTTGAAACACTAGAACTGTTAGAAGATGAAAATATATGGTGTATAAAGACGAATAAAATGTACACTAATAGCTGGTAATTAAAGTTTAACGCACGAAGACTGATCGTTAAAAAGTACAGTGTGTGAAACAAAATTAAAAATAATTGTGCATGCAAAAGATGAGAAATGTGATTGTGAAAATTCTGTATGAGATGCTGTGTAGTAACAATAAAAACGAAGAACAAAAATCGTGTATCTACAACAGATAATTTAAAGTCCAAAAATAGAGAACGTCACAAGTGGTTGGTGATAAAGACTTACTGCAAATCAGATAATATGCCTAATCAACGGTCGTTACGTCACTATATTATAGGTATTTTTACGACATGATTACATATTCAAGACATGGTACACATAAATCTCTTAATTATGTGTACTTAAGTAACCAAAAAATGAATTGATAAAAAAAAACTCAATATATTATTAGTTTCATTTTACATATAGGTACTATAATATTATAACTTCATTTCCTTGTTAAAATATATATTAATTTATATATATATATATATATATATATATATAAATATATTACAATGTACTTATCTTGAGAAAATAGGAATCTTATACAATGCGGGTATTTATAATTGTATAATGCGTTGTTTTCATTTCAAACTTAATGCAATTAACTTTATATATTGGAGTTTATTACCAAGTGAGATCAGGCATTTCGTAATAACATTTGTGGTTTAGTTGATTCAACTTAAATCCATCATGAATTATTTACATCATGCGTTTAAAATAGCTTACATTAGTTTACGTATAATTAAAGCTCGATTGTTATCAATATCTGATTATTCAATTACATCACAATTTTATTATTATAGATGGGTATTTCAAATCCCAAACACCTATTCAATTTATGTTCTAGTATTTATGTGTATGGAGTAAATGTAGTGCACATTTATTGCACTGTGTGAAAAGTTTACTAAGAAAGCCCTTAATTGAAAATAATATATTTTTTGTACTTTGAGTTATGAATATAATTCAAAAATATAAATGTTACCAATTTTTACGGTTAATTTTTTTTTTTTTTTAATACAAATACTAAAACAAAAATTATCTTATGGATAAATCGTCATTATTCGTTTGAATAACCTCGTTTCTTCGTTTTGTGTAAATAAAAAATAAAAATAAAAATATTATCTAACAATGGTTTTCACAAAGTTATTGATATTATAAGTATGGTCATTTAAAAATCCTAAAAATGTTGGCCTGTTTAGTTTGTATTGTGTTAGTTCTGAAAACTGATGAGACCGTAGTTTTCATTTATGGTTTATGATTTATGAAAGTAATAATTTAAATTTGTTAATAACCTTTTGCAATAAAATGTAACTTAAAATACAAATATATATCTATTTTATATCAGAGTATAAATTATACAATTTATTAAATGTAATTACTATTATACTAACCATATAAAAAAATAATTAAAAACTATTTGGTATTATATTTATGAGACAAAATCCTTAAACTTAATAAAAGATTTAATAAATTATTGTAATTAATTTTTATTTAAAAGTTTCATAAAGTTTTCCGTGTAATAAAAACACACAAAATATTTTATTTATAATTTGAAACAATTTTAAAACAATTAAATTCAATGATAAAATTATGCAAAAACTTTCAAGTTTTGAATCAACTAATATTTTTAAAATTTAATTAGAATTAATTAACTATGAACTAACGTATAGGTATTTTACAGTGTCTTATGAAAATTGGAAAATACATTTACCCACTGAATATTTTAAAAGTAAAATATACTATATATTAAATATTACTATATATTATTATTAATTTATTACGATACTAATATATTTTCTATAAACGTCAACTACATAATAAATGTGGTAGACAGTGAATGGGAATCATACATTTTAGTATATTAACTAACTCCGTGTTCATGCCTGCCACTGTAATTATATTTTACAACGCTAATAAAATTATCGACAATATTAAATAATTATTTGGACACACCGTCGTGTTTGACATGATATTCTATTTGGTAAACGTCGTTTAAATGCGAATCCCAAGACTATATCAATATAGTATATGAAAAATATAATTATTCATTGTATACATAATAAGCTGTACCTACTATGAATATAAATTTGTGTAAGCGAATTACCTTTAATACGCCCAGTACTTTTTATCATCAATTTTATAATAATATAATATATGACGTATATAATGAGAGTAATTTGTAAGTAGTGTCATCAAATCATTTTAATATTACCATAGTCTGCATCGAACAATATGCCATATTATATATTTTATTATCAATGGACTGTTTACGAAATAAAATAACTATTCACTGAATACAGGTACGTAACTGATAAAATAGCAAAATAATGATATTCCAAGTATAATACATTATGGTATAAAATTTATTTATATAAAATACAAATAATAATTTATATCGAGTATTTTCTTGTGTTATTTTTATTTTCAAAGATATCGATTAGGATCACAGAAAAAGTTATTTTAAATTGGAATTTTTATTTTTACCTAATGCCTACGGCCTATACTTTAACATAATACATTTGAGAGATATTCGTGTCTTTGGTGGTGCACAGAATTACTTTTTTTAAATTATTTATGTTTGGTAGCTAATGTGTTTTAAACGTGCAAATATGAAAATATTTGCTAATTTTCGTAATCCAATAATCTGTTACGCGTAGTGGTTGTTAACTTGCCGTTGGCGTATGTGCACACAACCGAACGATTCTAATGTAGGTACATAAAATCGAAAAACGATATCTAGTTTGAAAATCACACAAGTTATTTTACTCATTTATACCAGTATTACTAATATTATTATAACAATAATAATGATATAGTAGGTAAATCTGTTCATACGTACGACGTTTCTCACTGGGAATTATCATTTTACTACTGCGACAATGGTTAAATCCTTTTCACAACGACTACCGGAGTGGAAATGAACGGATGACTATATTTACAAATAATTAATGGTAAGGTTTCCTTAGGTAGTAAATGCGTGTATGGTTTATATAGACTTTATTGTTCCGTCTCGATCCCATCGTTCATATTTCATTTTTTTATTGGTTATTGTTTATCTTTGATTAGTTTAATTCATCAGCCGTTTGTTTCAACGAATATTTTAACATAACCCGCGTGTGTTGTCTTCGTCTTAAACGCGTACGACATAAACAAAACGCGTTTACGCAGTCTGAGTAGAACTCTCTCAATTTTGGTTCTATAGTAAATATACCTATTATAAAATTGAATTGTAGCAATATTTCTGAGGGCAATACAATTTTTTTTTTAAAATATTGACATTTTCGCTTTTTCTAAACAATATAATGAACGTTATATTGGAATTAATGGAAAAAACGCAGCGTCTTGCTCTCAAAAATATTTGTGACAATTCAATTTTATAATAGTTATATTTACTCTAGAACCAAAATTGATCGAGTTTTACTCAGACCGTGTAAACGCGTTTTGTCCATGTCATACGTGTGTAAGACGGAGATAGCACGTGCCGGTATGACGTCCTCTTAATAATATTACATTATCTAACAAAAAGATATCAAAGATTTGTATGTTTACGATAAACATTAAACAATGATAGCTGAACATTGCGCATTGTTTAAGATAGGCACAATAAACCAATTGAAAATAATAGTCTTGAAAAATATTTATCTCAAATATTATATTTTAAAACATATTTAAAATATAAAGGACGATAAATCCAATCACATGAAAAATAATTTAACAGAGAACAATACGAACGGAGAGGCTAAAGTGCGCTGGATATCGAATACTTCTGCGCAGAGTTATTCGTCCTGCTATTTCAATCACCTTGATACGATCTAGTGTTTTATTAATATTATACTATACGTTTGAATGCAGCGAGATAAATAATCGTATTCGAAAACCATTCGGTTTAAAAGAGTTGAAAAAAGGTTGAAGAGATCGTAAAAATAATTTATGAGCAAAGATTTTCAAAATGAATTGAATATGAATTATTAATACTTCCGTGAACTTGTATGGAAATATTACAAGTCTTGATATATTAATAAAGTCTGTAGATAGAAATGAATTTAAAAATAATTTTATAGTAAATAAATAAGGAATAACTTAACAGAAATGTTTACTCGATGGTTAACGAGTGAAGAAATAAATATTGTTAGTTATATTTTCTTAATAACATGATATTATGATGTTCAAGAACCAAATATAAATTTATTCATAACATAATACTATATTATAATAATATTATGATAAATCATTAAAATATTGTATAAATTATACTATGTGACCTGGTGTGGCGCGGTGGTTGGCCTCAGTCACTAATGTGTTCTGAGGTCAACCATCAGCCGGCGTCGCTAGCTCTCGGATGGGTGACCATCCGAGTTCTTAGTGACGAATCTATGGCGCACACACGTGTTCCAATCAAACTTTACAAATAAACCTTATGCAAAAATACCTACTATTCCTAACCATAGCTAATGGCCTTATTTACCGG